GGAATCAATGGCCCTTGGCCCAGTTGTGCATTGTATGAGAAATTTGGCAGTCAATTCTCTCGTCAAGTTTACCAAATATCGCCCCAAATCAGATAATGGTATACTCTGGTGGTCAGTCAGTAATCTCAATCATCGAATCTTATTAAGATGTCTTGTACATCTTTATCTTTCTCGTATTAAAAACTATTTGAGATTAAAAATCAACTAAAAGTTTAAAATCGATGTAAATCTATCATTATACTAGCCGTTTAATTAATAATATTACAAAAATATTATATTTCATCTTTCCATCTATCTATATGTATATATTTAACGTCAAATCTGTACTAATTTCCCATTTCATGTGAAGTTTTTAGTTTCTAACGCATTACAGTAGTGAACTTTAAAGAGAGCAATAGGTGGCCTGATGTCTCATTGAAGCTCTCTTTCTCGACCAGAAAGCTCCAAAAACCCAGCAAAAAGATATTGATAATGGAATCAAAGAAAAGGAAATGCTTGGAAGTGTTTACAGGATAAAAACAGTTAAAAGAAGAAACCAAAGTTGGATTAAACATTGGAGCAACTACTAAGCTTCATAAGGCTTTTGCCGTAGATCAATGGCTAAACCCGTTTCTTACTGTAACTTGCGGATCGATAACGAGTTTGGAAACAGCCATGAAGTTTCCAATAAAACAGTAAGAAAATGATCATTTTTTAACATGAGTTCCGGATTTTTTTTCTCATTTGAACAATTCAGAAGCAGTAGCCAAGATGGCTCAAATTCATGTGAACCGGAGATACATGGCAATGGTAGCATGTGCAATCGTTCTAGTTCTTGTCATGATGACCAACGTCGGAACTGCAGAAAGAACACTGAAAGACAAAACCAATCATGAAGTTTTCAACGTTGGAAAGCTGTCTGGCCGGTATGTTAGCCACCGGTTAGCCTCGTTTGATCTTTCGATTTTTTGTTTAGTTTTTGATAATTGAACTCAATTGTTGATTGAGCAGGAGATGGAGTTTGGTTGGAAAATAGTTGTGGGAACAATCGTTGGATTCCTTGGTGCAGCTTTGGGTAGCGTTGGAGGTGTTGGTGGCGGCGGTTTTTTCGCTCCCATGCTCACTCTCATCATTGGCTTCGACCCCAAGTCTTCCACTGCCATTTCCAAATGTGAGTTTTTTTTTTGTTAAATATCGATCACGGCATGAAGTTCGAGTTTTCAACGCCGTAAAACTCGAACTTTTCTTTCGGAGATTGCAGGTATGATCATGGGTGCAGCAGGATCAACAGTATACTATAACCTGAGACTGACGCACCCAACACTGGAAATGCCCCTCATAGATTATGATTTGGCATTACTCTTGCAGCCCATGCCTATGCTTGGAATCAGCATTGGAGTTACCCTCAATTTCCTGTTTGCGGATTGAATGGTTACACTTCTGCTTATCATCCTCTTCATCGGTAATAATAAGTTGCTCCGATTCATCCTTTTTTTTAAAGTAACGTTGTCCGAGTAACATATGTAATCATGAATTAATGATAGTAATTTTCCTCTGATATCGATGCCATTGCCAGGTACTTCAACTAAAGCCTTAATCAAAGGTGTAGATACATGGAAGAAAGAGACAGTGATGAAAAAGGTAGATTTTTCAACTTGTTTACTCTTTTAAGTATTTCCACGGCATGGATTGTTGATGAGGATTTTGAGATTCTATTATCAGGAAGCAGCAAAGTTAGAAGCTGAGGAATCCAAACTATCTGGTGAGTGCCTTGTTAAGCAAGAAACTTAATGTAATAACAGGTTTCGATAATTTCGTACCTGCGTATGCTTACATCCTTGAGAGTTGCAGATGGAGCTGTTCAAGATTATAAAATGTTACCTAGTGGCCCAAGCGCCATGCCACATGATGATGATGTGAGATTTAAGAACATTTCAGGTTTTCTTACAACAATAGTCTTTTCATTTCCAAATCACAATTCCATATGATTCAATTCAGGTTCCTCTGACACAAAACATACACTGGAAAGAGTTATCGCTGCTCATTTACGTGTGGATCGGTTTTCTCGTCGTTCAGATTATTAAGGTATGCTAATACTGTCCACAACATCCCAAGAACCATAATGCCTTGTTTTTTTCTTAGCTAAATCCCACATACATGCTTGTTTACGCAGGAATATCTTCAAACTTGCTCAGTCATGTATTGGATTGTGAACTCCTTGCAGGTAGAAACTTAAAAAGGCCATATTTGCAGAACAGAGAATTTAGAGTTTCTTATGGTTAAAATATCTGCAATTTTATTGTTTTTTCCCCTATAGATACCTATTGCTGCCTCTGTGACAGTCTTTGAAGCCATATGCTTATACAAAGGGAGAAGGGTGATTGCATCAAAAGGAAAAGAAGTGACAAATTGGAAGATATATCAGATTCTTCTTTACTGTTCTTGTGGCATAATTGCTGGTCTGGTTGGTGGTCTGCTTGGACTGGGAGGTGGCTTCATCTTGGGTCCTCTTTTCCTTGAACTTGGAGTTCCCCCTCAGGTATAGTTAACCGATCTGTACAAATAATAGTGTATCAGAATATAATTGTCACTGCGTTTACGTCTAAGGTATTTGTTCTCTATGTATATTCACTGGTCTCTTAAAGATTTTTGACCTGCTAGATGCCTACTTGGTTCGAACAAGGAACCTCTCACATATGATCTTGTGAGAGAAATCTTTGAATCAAAAGAGATGGACCTACAGATGGTAGATCTTCTAGGAATTGGTATATGCTCAATATAAGTCTACTCGCGGGGCGAGTCTTTCCCCCTAGACACAGGGAAATGCGTTGGAGACTTTTATGTAACCAGAAGCTGATCAAGTTTTGCATCTAAAGACATAAAACGCATCCGGTATTGACAATGTTACTATCCATTTGTCCAGGTAGCTAGTGCAACATCGACGTTTTCCATGGCATTTTCATCGTCGATGTCGGTTTTACAATATTATCTTCTCAATCGTTTCCCGATCCCGTATGGTAAGTAGCATTGACAGTAAAAAAAGTTCCTACTAGAATCAATCTCATGCAATAACTCCAAAGATCTAAAACTTTAATGCATTTCAGGGTCGAACATAGGCTTCATTGACCTAATAGTTGCGCCGTTAACTTTTCGTTTACCCTGCAGCTGCTTATTTTGTTCTGGTAGCCACCATTGCTGCAATCACCGGGCAGCATGTAGTCAGGAAAATTATCTCCGTCTTCGGACGAGCATCAATAATCATTTTCATATTAGCCTTGACGATCTTTGTCTGTGCAATAAGCTTAGGTAATGCAATGCTTTCCTTTGTTTCAAAGGTAAATACCCTTATAGGAAGCTGAGTTGAAGAACACTATTTATCGATTGTTTTCAATTTAAAAATTGAGTTTTGCTTGTATATGTTGGTGGACATTCATTTTGTAATCTAGTTATGCAATTATATATATTAATAATATTAAATTATGATAATAATATAATGTAACGATTATATCGTAATGATTTTTAGATTCACGTGTTATTTTAATTGTATTCGTTACTTAAAAATATAATTATTTAAGGAAAATTGCCTAATAAAATTTATAAAATTTATAATCGTAATACAACATCCGTAATCACATAATTTAATACTATTAATGCATTTGAATCCGCTCTTGCTCTAACACCTGGAAAATGCATGCCATATGCGACAAACACCTGGGAAACGCATGCGATGCATCTGTTTACGTGTCTGTCAAGAGAACCGACGGCGTCGTTTTCAATCGCACTTAAAGAGGGACAGCGCATTCAGGAAGTCAAAGGTTCAGATTTCCAAAAACTAAAAAAAATGGACGGTGAAGATCAGATAAACATGAGCTAAGAAACCAACCCCCGATTTGTGTAATAATAACGCATTTACAATAACTGGACTCTTTACGTGGCGCACATCTATTGGACGGATCATTGTTTTGAAAACAGTATCGGATTGACCGGTTCAACCGGAAACAGTTGCCTAGTCCGGTTCAATCTAAATCGGTTGAACCGTTACTAATGAACCGGCTAGAACCGTTGAACCGTTCAAACCGGACCGACTAAAAATCGGAAAAAATCGAGAAAAACCACCAATTTTATTTTAATTTTTTAAAAAAATTAAACCAAACGACGTCGTTTGTTAAACGAGCCAAGTCGAACTCGAGTATTGCTGAGCTCAACTCAAATTTGAAAAATTTAAAAGTAAGTTCAACTAGATTCAAACTCACGAGCTAAAAATTATGAAGTTTAACTCGAACTCGAAATATAATATTGAAACTTGAACTTGAAAAGGCTTAAACTAAAAAAAATTTAGAAGCTCGATTGAAGCCTAAAATTCGAGCTTAATTGAAGTGAAAGAATAGTTCACTCAATGCTTATCAAAAGGCTCTATGATTTTGAATGCCAAATTACCTTTATTATTTATAAAACTTAGTTGGGATGATCTTTTATGTTTCTTAGTAATGTGGGATTGTTTTTAAAAAAAATTAAATCAAACAATATCATTTTGTTATGATTTTTTTAGCCATAAATTTATTTTTTAATTATAATTATATAATTATATTTTTTATTTAATATATTTTACCTTAAATATTATGTTGTAGTTAATTTGAATTATTTTGTTTCAATTGATTTTATGATTTTTAACTTATATATGTTATGACTTGCTTTGAATATGAATTGTGATATAAAAAATTATTTTTTATTAAATATTTTTGGTATTTTTATTTAATTTTTTAAATAATTATGACGTCGTCTGATTCTTTCGATCGATCAAACCGATTAAATCAGTAAATCGATAACGTGACCAGTTCGTAAATCGGTCCGGTTCTGAAAACCATGGGACGGAGTCTGCCGAATTCCCCTCACCCTTCGCTTCCGCATCTTGACCCACGTGGAGGAATCTTGACCGTTCACCCTTCCAAACCCTCTTTTACCTGGATCGTCCATTCTAAAAAATGCCTCTATATATTTTAGGGTTTGAGGGGAGAGAAAGATCCATTCTGAATTTCTGATCTCTATTATTTGTTCTTCATTTTTTTCCTTCTACTTTGTGCGAAATATCAGATCTATTCTCTATGATTCTTGATTCGAGGTTTGTTTCATTAGATCCGGTCGCACAGTTTCACGATCTTCGATTTGATATCAGGTTGTCGATGAGAGGATTAACGCCTTCTGATGCATATATATGAAAGGCCTTAGACGGAAAGATCCGGTAGTTTTGCAGGGGGTTTGCATATATTTGTGGATTTCTATCTTCTTTGGTATGTAATTCCGTCTTGTTATCTTCCTGGAGATTTCTGTTCTATAATTCGTTAATTATTTATCACTCTTGTAATCTTGCAGCGATGGTGAACCATTTGATCTCGTTCGTAGTCCCTGTTCTTGACCTTGAGACAATCGTGGGAATAAATTAGACGTCTATGATGTTATGAGGTAGCGATCTCGGATTGGAAGGTGGTTTGTGTTTGAAAGGATGTGTAAGATATCAGGGCAAATGGTCCTGATCTATCTTTGTCATCCAAGACCTTTGCCATGACAGGTGCGCTTGCATGGCAGGTCACCGAACTTAATAAAAAAATATTTATTTGGTGTTTCGGAGGGAGTTCGCACGGGGGTTGCCCGGGTTCTCCCCTCTGCTGTGGTGTCTCGTCTCTCTTTACTCCCCTACCCTTTACGCTTTCCTATTATTTTCTCAATTCATATACGCTGTACCATACTGGATCGACGCATGGTCCCACATCATCATCAGCACCATCATCAACTTGGATTTAGCTCTGTTCTCCACGATATTCATCATCAACTACTTACGAATCTCAAAGCCAAGGTATTTGTTTACATATTTAAAACCAAAAGTTGCATATCTGCTTTAAAATATAGAAATTTCCTACTTTTATCGTTCACTATATACCTAACTGGGTAAGTCTGCTAGTTGATACATTTAAACATGGATATAACCATTAATATATTTTAGTTATTAATCGTGCTTTTAGAAACATAACCAAAAATTGATTTAACAAATCATTCAAAATTTGTATGCTTGTACGTGGCTTAAGATTTTTTAATTTCTTCAAGCATTTATGTTACTAGATTTTGACATATTTTAGAAGTGACTTTTTAATTATATGCCCTTTTTTATAAATCTTTCTATTTATTTGATTTAATAAATGTTTTCCTACCAAAATTACATTCTTCGAGAACTTTACTTTTAAAAATCATAATCTTCATATATAATCATATTATTTTTAAATTTCTTGGTAAACTAACTAAAAACTATTGTTTTTTGATATTAAATGTCAAACAATTGTTTCTTAAATATTTTGATTATGTTATATTGGTAAGCTAAAACTCATGTTTCTCAAGTATTTTGGTTCTTTGGTTTTGATTTGGTATTTGAGAAGCTGACATGCCTTTCTTAATTCACTTTTATATAAAGAAATGGATCAAACGCACGTTTAAATGGTTATGGTGTTAACACTCGATGTACAGTTGAAACCCTTAGTAAAATTTCCCGACGACTCCATTTTGGCCAATGTTATAAATTTTTCCACCATTAGATTGCATCTTCTGAATCAACCCTTAATTTATCAGCCATTCATCATTTCCAAATGTTATTTATTGGTATTGTTCTCTCGCCTCTGCAATTTTTTATGATGGTTATTTTATCTGAATGGACATATTAAGCGTCAGTGTGTTTAATCGAACTGTGTACTCTTAGGTTAGTTTTGGTTGTAGTTTCACGGTAGCATATGTACAATTCTTGTATTGCTGTTTGTAGTTGTACAGGCCCTTGTTTGGGCCTCTGTTTGACATTGGGTTGAAGGTTGGAGATCATTCATTGGCCATGGAAGATATTGGTGAAAGACATATACGTAGAAGCGAATGATGTTCTGTTAACTGCATATCTCATCTTTGAACATTGGAAAGAAAGCACTGTAAGCGGTTTGCCAACTTTCAAAATATACATGGTGGCCGCCATGTACTGCTGATCTACTGGTTGAGAGATTTCCCTCCATTTTCTACTCCTAGAGGCATTGGAGCCGCATAAATTGAAACCCATCTTGATTTTACATGGTGCAGCGTTCTGGTGAGAATTTAGTGTTGAAGATTGATGATTACGGAGGTACATTTGTCGATGTGTAATCAGTCCCTTTTACGTAGTGAAAATTTTTCAGTGGACTTCGGTCCCGTGGTTTTTTCCCCCTTTATAGGGTTTTCCACGTATATTTTGTCTCCTTTTTATATTATCTTTTCCATATATCGGTTATTTGCATTCATCTACGATCAATTCAAGGACTAGGTATGGTAGAACATATAAACACGTTTCCAGTAATCCTCTATACCGAAGTTTTCTTTAAAGATTTTTAATTAAATACAGTGTATTTATATTTAATTATAAAGAAGGGGGCAATTCTTCAAGTTGGGTCATGCTCGCAAATTTGTTATTACGACTCTGTATTCAAAGTCATAACCAAAATGAGATTTGGATTGCGTGGGGTTTGGCTGCAATGTGTTTTTATGCTAATATGTGGGTTTCCGAATGGAAGGCTGGCTATTCTTGAAAGATCTGTAAGCTCAAAAAGGTAGAGCTATCGGTCCACTGTGGTGGTCGAGAGGGTGATGGTTCGAATCCGTCCAGATCTCGTCTTATTTTCCTTTATAGGACTTTAAAATTATTACTGTCATGTCTCTTACGTGTGAGGGACAAAAATAAATAGGCATTGGTTGACTTTTTGTGGGGGCGTTTTAAATTAAAATTTAAAAAATCATGGCGTAAACATTGAAAGCTGAAAATAATTGCTTGGATTTGCTCCGCTCAATGTGTGAGAATAGGAGAAAGCATCCATTCTATTTAGTTCATAGATTATTACAAACACATGTTGGGATGTTGATTACTAAGAAATAAATACTTTATAAATAAAGTTCAAAGATCATTTTATATGTATATGGTTATAATTATCTTTGTTTGCAATGTATTTATCCGGCGGACTATTATTTAGTGTATTTATTATTAATGAACAACCGAAAGAAATAAAAGTATAAAATATTTACTCCAATGAGTAACCTAGAATTTCGTCTGTTTTCTATAAAAAAATATGAAACCGAAAATGTACTTCGGTAGTCAAGCCTTGGACGTTCCTATAAAAATACTTTGCTTCTTCACTAACGTGTATCATATGTTTCATTTTATATGTTTACAAATCTTTTAGAATATTTTATATTTATACTAATTTTTTAATTACATTTAAAGATTTTTAACTCAAAAAACTTTTAAAATATTTTTATAATATTTTAATTTTTCTATTTTCTCCTGTTATCGTAATTTTATTATTGTTTTTCTTGTCTTGTCAATCATAATTATTCATCCAGCTCAGTTGGTAGAGCACAAGGTTCTTAACCTTGAGGTCGTGGGATCGAGTCCCACGGAGAACATTTCATAATTCAAAAGTCTCTTACGAAAGTTGCTCTCAACCTAATGTTGAGGGTAGCTTACTATCTTACCTCTCCTTATCCCATACATATGAAAAAAAGGGACAGCCATTTTAATAAATGAAATGTTCGATAATCTCATTGCCTCATACTTTCAATATTGAGCCGGTTTTTGCTTAACCAGGTAGGTTCTTTTTCTTCTTATTTTAATCTCTCTTTTGTCAATACTTGTAGTGTTGTTGAGTTGTAAAGTAGATCTATCTGCATTAACCGTTTCATCTATATTTTTGGAATGATTTATTTTTAATTTTGTGTTTTATAAGATTTGAAGAAAATGCTCTGTTTCTCTCTCTCTCTCTCTCTCTCTCTCTCTGAAAGTTAACGTGGAGATAGATCTGTTTTTGTCATCGATCTTTAAGAACTCCGGACCTCTGTTCCTCGTTCAATGAATGCTTGGAATATCAATAGCCTTTTTATGGATTCTTTTCTCTGCGTTGCTTTTCGAATTTTCATTTAAGATGATTAATGTGTATTGATCTCTCGTTAGGTAAGGAATTCGAACTTAATGGAAGCTGTTAAGTTTGTGTAATTGATAATCAAATTAGAGCTATTGTTTTCTTTTAAACTATAAAATTCGGATTATTAAGGTTTTTGATTGACGTAATCTGCAGTGAAATGTTTCTTCGTAGAAAGAATACACAGAAGGATGATTCCGAGCAACGAGGTGCCAGTGATCTTTTTGTTCATATATATATATATACACACACCTGAACTTTAAGAAGAAAAAGTTTGAATGATTTAGTTCAAAGCTTATGGACTTGATCTCTATATTTAATTCATGTTTCCGGGAGTATTCGTAGAAAGAATACTCGTAACTGACACATATCCCTAATACGGATAACATACATTTTGTTTCAACCAACACCGGATGCTTGAACATAGTAGCTGTTAATTTTTGGTGTTAAGATCGAATATTGGTATTTAAACATAAATTGTTCGGTTGCAGTTGTAAGTAAACTCTAAATACTTGGTTGATATGCAGGTCAGTGAACTCAGGACTGCAATAGTACCCCTGTCTGGGTGCAGTTCAATGTACTGTAACGATGCATGCCTCAGGCGATATTTAGAAGCTCGGAATTGGAATGTTGATAAGGCAAAGAAAATGTTGGAAGAGACGTTAAGATGATCGACTTATAAGCCTGAAGAAATCTGTTGGGTATGTTTGATATTCCCCGCCTCTTTATGATAGTAATACATATGTATATATGTTAATCAAACTTGGTTGCTGGTGTATATATGCTAATCAAACTTGGTTGCTGGTGTGATATAGGGATATGTACACGACATAGATGCATACATATATATTTCAAGATTTTCATGTATCATGAGTACTCTGGATTATCATACTTAGTTTATTAGTTCTAGTCGAAACTTGTTTAAATCAGTATTGTTGTCTCAATATAAATTGGTGGATTTGATGATTATGAAGTGGGATAATTGTTCTTTCCTTCTACCTGATCACGGATCACATGTTTCATTCTGGTTTTTGCATATGATTGTGAGTTTATAACTAGTACACTTTTTGGTGATAAACGCCCTTATTTCTGGTTTCGCAAACTTGCCTCATTGCATGTTCTTCTCCAGCATGAAGAGGCACATGAAGGTGAGACTGGAAAAGTTTCCCGCGCGAATTTCCATGACTGTCAAGGAAAAACAGTGCTTATAATGAGGCCTGGAATGCAGGTATGCACTGGGTTTCATTCAGTTTGTTTTGGGTCACCAAGGCGACTCTTTTAATTTTTCCACCTATATTTCTTGGCAGAACACAACATCCGCAGAAAATAATATCCGCCATTTGGTCTATCTCTTAGAAAATGCCATCCTTAATCTCTCAGAGGGCCAAGAAAAAATGTCATGGTTGATAGATTTCACAGGGTTTTCACTTAGCACCAGTGTTCCCATCAGAACAGCTCGAGATATCATTTACTTCTTAAAAGTCACTACCTGGAGAGGCTGGCGATTGCTTTCTTGTATAATCCACCAAGGTTTTTTGAAGCATTCTATAAGGTTTGTATTCCTGCCTTTCTATTTGGTTTCTTGTATCATTTAAGCATTCTATACATTCGAACACAGGCACAAAGACGTACTCTTATCTGATATGAACACTCGAGTTCGAGTAACATAGTCAAATACAGGTATTTGTAGAAAAATGTAGAGCCGGACTCACTTGAACCATTGGATTTAGATTTATATATTTCATTTGATTGATATACTTTGCTCTTAAACATGTTCCACAGGCTGTCAAGTTATTTCTGGATCCAAAAACAGCTCAGAAGGTGAAGTTTGTTGACCCTAAAAACAAAGACAGCGTAGAGCTCATGCGATCATACTTTGATGTTGAGAACCTTCCCAGTGAATTCGGTGGAAACGCGACGCTGAAGTATGACCATGAAGAGTTCTCACGACTGATGGCTCAAGATGTAAAAATCGGTAAATTCTGGGGAATTGATGAAAAACACCTCCAAATCGGCAACGGACATTCGGTGACACCAGAGCCAGTGCCTGTTGCACAGCGAGCGAGCGAGCTGTGAGGATACACCTGTTGTCTGAAAATTCTATGCGTCTGAGATTTAAGTAAATACAAGTCAAATCAACATCCGCATCCTTGCTTAGGTGATGAATTAGTGCCCCTCCTTGTTTTTCTTTTATCCTCATTGCTAATCATTAAGGACTGAGAAAGGGACATGTTTTATGCTTTACACAAATGCTAGCACTTAAGTTTTTTTGCATCTTTCAGATTGTTTTCTAGAGGATATGAGTACGACCGTACGAGGGCCGAGAAAAAACACCCAAAAATTTAAAATCGTAGTATTTGAACAAGTTATAGTTTATCAATTTAAAAATCGTAATTATCGAATCGAATTTTATTTTTTAGTTAGTGGTCTAATAGAGTGATCTTCATTGATTCATAGCCACCAAGGAATTGAGTACAATGATCTCCCTCATGGAACCGTTTACCTTTGCCATCTGCATATAACAATTATTCTCAGCCGTTCCAGCTCTAAAAGTTGTTCGGTTTAACTTTTTCAGAAGCACAACATTTTCAGAATTGGGGCTAGATGACAGATTAGCTGACTGTGCTTCCTCAACTTCCTTCTCTAATACAGTTTCCCGTAATGTAAAAACAAAGATATAACTGCACAAGATGTCTCCAAACTATTATTCCAATTCTTAATTGGTCCTTAAAGTATTCTATTTAACTCCTTAACTTTCAGTATTATCTTATTTTGATTCTTTGTTAGTGTGACATTAGTTTTTAATTTTTAAATTCTGAGAATTGAATCTAGAATCTAAAGAAGTTAATTTTTAAGAACCAATAAACTATCCGGAATCAATTATTTAATTGAATTAACTGAAATTTAATATATTTTTAATTTTAAACTCAATTCTTATGAATGGCCCGTAATATTTAAATTCACAATATAACCCGAAAGAATAAGATTAGAAATAAAAATCTAACAAAAAAGATCATTTTTAATTTATTATCACTTGCATTGTTATTTTGAAGCAAAACTAAAAAAAATCAGTTAGTTAAAAATCGATTGAATTAACCATGCGTTATATAAAAAATATACGACAACAAAAGTAAGGGAAGAAGTAAAGTGTTAACAGAGAGAACACCAAAAGAAGTATGTTAACAGAAAGAAGTAGTTAAACACAATTACAGCAATTAAGAATGAAAATAGGTTAATAATGCATGTGGGTCATGAAACAAGTTTTAGTAAGGCATAGTATAAAAGGCAAAGACGGTTATACAACAAGGTGAAATTTGAGGTTGTTTCTCTCTTCATCTAAAGAACGATTGAATCTCCTCTAGACTTCTCCTTTAGTTTCTGGAACCCAACGTGCCACAAAACAATGGTGAAGGCGGCCACCGCAGCGTACACAGTGAATGTCCCTGAAACCAAGCCATGTTAATGTCTAAAACATTATTAATTTTTGGACAGACAACTAAAGGCTGAGAGAAAAGGAAGAAAGATAGAGACCTCCACCATTCCAGGTGAGGAGCAAGTTCGCAGTCATGGTAACCATCCAAGCCGTCATCCAGTTCGCCAACGTCGCTACACTTCCGGCTAACTCTTATGTTGACCGGCAGTATCTGAAATTTTAAAATTTAGTAAGTATAAAAAAAAATTAATCTACATTACAAGTGATACAAAGGTGAAAATACGAAAAAAATTAAATCCTCAGACATTATAACCCAAGGGATTGCTCCGACGCCGAGTGAAAATGTAATCGAAAATGCCTACATAAATGAAGTAAATAATCAACACAAACAATGGATCAATAGATTATATTCATCAAAATATTAAGTGAAATTCACATCTATATATTTTGTGCTTCTTATAATTCGTGAGTGTGAACTTGCTACGCACTACGTTTTGAACAAATCTTACCACTAGCCCCACCAATGACACTATTCCCATTATGTCATGTAGGCAGAACCTTCGGCAATGAATTCCTGTTATCAATGAAAATTGTTAGTAATGTTATACAATATTTGTTCGATTGAATATATATATATATATATGACTTTTATCTATTTAAAAGGTTATTGAAAGAATTTTACCAAAAAAAAGGTTATTGAAAGCATTCAAAGAAATACCAAAAACAAGTGGGTGTAACATCCATACCTCAACGTAAAATGCACTAGCAACAAGGAGCAAACTCAGAGTCATTCCAGATGAGGATATCTGCATTGGATTTTGAGTGTGTCAATTACGAGTATATACTCAATTATGAATTTGTAAGAGTCATTAGGGATCATATGTCACTAATATATATATATATATATATAATATATATATCATTTTGAAAAAAAAGAATCAAAATAACATAGTAAAAACTCGGAGCAAACTCACAATAAGAAGTACCCTACGGCCGGCTTTGTCTACCAACCATGTGGTAACACCGGATGCAATGACCTACACAGAATACAACTCCTATTATACCAATCAAAATAAAACATCAGAGGCAAAATCTGAAGAAAAAAATAATTATAAAATTTTGAGACGAAGACTGATTTGAGAAAGAATACTGAAAGTTCAAGGTGTTGACGAACAAAATACACCAAGGCCTGTCTACCCTTATTGCCTTGTCCCTGTTTGCAGTATACTAATGTACCTGGAAAACAACTCTGCTGAACTACCGTTACCTGAATCAACCAAGCCCAAATGTCGCAGCGTTGCTAGATGAGACCCCTAAGCAAATTATAAAGCAAAGTCAATGATGAAGCAAAAGGCAAAAGTAAAGTTTCACAGAAATTTGCTAACAAAAGTTTTTATAATCTATTTTGATTGTCACTATTGTATTGTTGTTGTACAATTTAAATGTGTGGGTTAAGTGTGTTAATTTCCTCTAATTTAGGTCTTGAGGGTTTACAAGTAGTTAGACATTGTATCCCACACTCTATTTAATATACATCCTTAGTATTTTTCGTTATGTTTCTTAAATGCACACGAGTCTCGGATATGACGGGTCATCCATGAAAGATTGTATCTCCATACTCATATCCAAAAATGAAAAATTGTAGTTAAACATGACAGAAACGTTGTTCTCACCGGCTCTTCAAATATATTACTGGAATAGAATAAAACGGCATTGATACCACTGAGTTGCTGAAGCACAAGTAATCCAATCCCTATCTGCGGCATACCAATTGCATTAAAACGTGCTATTCGATTCTAAGAACGACGGAAAAAGGAAAAAAGATTCAACAACAAAAGAATATTCTACCATCAAAGGATACCAATATCTTCTCCGCCTGAGATCTGCAAATTGAATCGTTGTTTTCTTCCTTGATGATTCTACGGACTCTCTGCACAAGTGCCTCATTGATGCTTAAACATATTACTCAGATTCAGATGTAAGTAATGAATAGAAATAGACATCCAACACAGATATATATTCAACATTTTTTAAAACTTCAATGTGATCAAAGTGTCATTTGAGGATTATATCCCCACGCTCATATAGGAAAGATTGCCTATAATTCAGTAGTTACTATACCTTGATGTCATTAATTTCAACGGAATATCCGTATTGAAACCACGCAAAACTTGCAAAGAGGCTTCAGCTTCTTCCATCATTCCATTTTTGCCTGGAAAACATCCAATCACAAGACAATAACATAGAAGGGTCCAACCAATATATGATATAGCAATTGCAAGCTTTCAAACCAGCCATCGAGGAGATTCGGGTGAAGAACAGGCCGGTATCAATATTAGGCATGGTAATATTCCTACAAAGAAGAAAGATATGTCAATCTGTTATGGTCGTTTTCTAGAATTCAGATACATCGGTATGCTTACTTATTCGAATATGTACCGGGCATGAGTAGTTAAAAAATGAACAAATCTTAATCTACCTACCTAAAACTGCAAGCACTCTCCAATTTGTGAACAGTCCCAATAGATAAGCCAGCATTATTCCAATTGTGACCGAAAGCTTTTCAATAAACAAGTTTAACTCGATCAATCAAACAATATTAAGTAAATATGGGATACCAATATGGATTTTAATGTGAAAGAACAAACCTGGTTTACTGATCCAAGGCTTCCTCTCATGTTTTGTGGTGATATCTCAGCGATATATACAGGTACCTGCACATAATTAAACGACGATGCCATTGCTTAAAAAATAAGAGAAGAAAAAAGAACCGAAGAACAGGTGAAGGCATTGGAGTTACCGTGTAAGAAATTATGCCGACACCGAAGCCTTCTAGCAACCTTCCCATGAATAAAAATGATGAATGCTACAAATGACAAAGTCATTATAATATTAACAACAAGCTTTGCGGGGGTTACATATCACAACCCATCACCATTCGACAAGTTTTGGACCATGTCGCACAAGTACCATGATACCACGATCCGGCTCATATTGGCGGATGGGGATAGGGATAGGGAGTGACAAGACACATCAAACAATAACAAAATTGTCAAAAGTTGCTCACATTGGCAAAAGATATGGCCAACCATCCTATTATGTTAGGAATCGCTGCAATCAGTAACGACTGCAAATTTCAACACACACAACACAGTATATTCAACGTTAAAATTTTTTTTAAAAAATCCTAAAAGGAAACGTTTTGAGAATTCATTCATATAGTTTAAATATAAATATATAACGAGGAAGATTAACTAATTGATTTATAAGTTCACAATTCTAAGCTGAAATATTGTATTAATGAATCTGGAAATAAGGGAAACTAAGTAAAGAAGTAATAACATTAGAGGATAAATTTCAAATCTATATATTTGAGTTGATCCAATATACAATCTAATAGGAAATTTGGTATATTATACATGTGAATTTTTTAATAACATTGTTGTTTACTTAATATTGTTTATGTTTACATGTTACACAATAATAAATTAAGTTTTATTATTTGATATACAAGCTATGAAAAATTATTTTACAAATCATAAATTTAAAACTCTAATCCAAAACTCAAAATTTTAAATCCTATAACTAAACCCTAAATATACCCTTAACCCTAAAATGGACATGGAAGATCTTATGTAAACTAAAGTTTACACAATTGTATATCATACATTTTATATAAATTAATAAGTTTTATTTATTTTCGAAACGTGTCTGTCTTTTGTCATTTAAGATACCTAATATAAATGAAACCATTTAAAAAATTAAGACATTGTCATTTTATAATCTGTTTTATCATTTAAGTTGCGTTTTTCAATATCGGATCTTTATTTACTGTAATTTTCAATCAATGATTATTATCAATAGAAATTTGAGATATAATTTTGAGAATTTTAAAGCTTATCCATGAGATACAAAGTATTAATCGATAAATTGATTATCAATACCCCTTTTCGGCCAATATATTCAGCAATCTGACCGCTGGCTATAGCACCAACCATTGCGCCCACATTTGACAACGAACCAAAAGCAGAATACTACCAGCACAAAAGAAGAGAGAGAGAGGGAGAGAGGTTAATCTAATGCAAAGAAATTAGAATAAAACCAATTTAAATAGGAAAAGGAAGAATTTAGGTGATTGAAATTTAGACTCTGAAACCGAAAGACCAAGATCAGCAACGATTTCATCTTGCGTAGGAGAAGAATATCCACACTGCATTTTCAAATTTGGAAAATCATTAACAAAAAGCAGTTGAAACACGAAGTTAGAAACAAACAAAAAAAAAGAGAAAGCTGGAGAAATTATATACGGTGAATCCAAATTGGATAGGGCCCAAAGCGACGATGAGAACGCAGAGGACGACGGAGATCGATCCATCGCGGATGACTTGATGCGATGAGCTCAAAAGACTGGACTGCCTTGAGTTCATCCGGTACCAGCTGCCGGTATGTAGAAACGGCTTCTTGAGATCCCGGGCATCTTCGGTATCATCGCGGAAACTCATCGAAACCAAACAATGGCTGTGGGATGATCGGAATTGCAGGGAAACTTGCAGCTCAAGTTTTCGATCGAGAGGAAATAAGGAAATTTGGAAAATGACTGTTGGGGAGGTTCATATTTTTGAAGGGGAAATAGAACACGTGGCGCTTTTATTTTTGGAAATTAACACGTGGTGCATACCCATGGGTTTAAAGACTAGATCTTATTGCAAGGGACATTTTTTTACCGGTACTTTTGAGCGCCAAACGAGGATCCGAGTTCTTCTAAATGATTAAAATTAAAATAAATTATGTCCGAATTTATTTAAATTTTTAATATAATTTCTAAAAGGTCCACGTATCTATTGTAAAATCATACAATAACTCTACATTGCAATCATTTTGATATGTCATTTTTGTTAGTAAAATAATATAATGTAAATAAGTTGAGTGTATCTCACATTAATGAGATATAAATTTAATGAAATGTTTATATATCTTAAATTTGTCTTTATAAATTTAAAGCTAGGCTCACAATCTGGTCTGGAAAATTCTTGAGCTACACATGCAGGCTAGAACTCGTTCGAGCTGTATTGTTCAACATTGCTAATTATTGGAGCAGGCAACTTCTGCTTCCTCAATCTATAATCAGCAAGATTGAACAGCTATGCTCCCATTTTTTCTGGAAAGGCTCCGATACATTAGCTATAGGCGCGCGTACCTGCTGGAATAACATCTGCCAATTGAAATCAGAGGGAGGTCTCGGTTTGAAAGACCTTAAATCATGGAATAAAGCCTGCTTTATTACTCTCACGAAAAATATTTTAGCAGGAGAGGGTTCTCTATGAATAGCTTGGATTAATGCATATGTTATTAAAGAGAATGATTTTTGGGCATGGAAAATTCTGCTCACTAAGTTGGGGCATCAACAGAATCCTCAGCTTCGAACTGAAGCTATTACTGCCATTTCGAAAGGAGCCTTCACCATTAGAAATTTGGCAGAGATTAGAATGAAAAAAGACAAAGTCCCTTGGCACTCCCTTATATGGTTCCCCCCCATTTACCCAAGCTAGTTTGATTGTATGGATGGCTCTTTTAGAGATCGTTCCTACTCGTGACCGACTCATTCGTATGGGATTTTACTAATGGAATTTGTGTCATATGTAATGAAATGATGGAAAGCCGTAATCATTTGTTCGTTGCTCGTATGCTTCTTTTTTTAGGGAGAAAATCTTCTCCTAAATGGACTGAAGAAGACAATTGATTCTTGGGAGAATATGGTAACTTGGGCTTCCAACACATGGAAAGGAAAATCTCTTATCACTACTATTCTTAAACTTGCTTGGTGTGCAAGCATCTATGTCTTGTGGGAGGAACGCAATCGAAGAATATTTAAAGGAACCTCAAGAAAAAGAGAAGAAATCCTTAGCAACGTCAAATAATTCGTAGGAATTAACTAAGGGGGAAAAAGATAAATAGGTTTGATTATGTAAACCAATCTTTGTATATCTTGGGTATCGATTAGCCGATCATTCTCTTGTATTGAGTGTATTTTTCTGATCAGTGTTTTTTGTAGCCGTCATTGCTTCTTTGGGTAATAAAAGCTTAATTATCCAAAAAAAATTGTCTTTATTAATATTGAATAATAAGTGATGAAGCTCATACACATATTATATTTATTGTTCGATTCAATGTATGATGTGTTGAAAGTATTGTTAAAAATGGTTTTCAAGTTTGGCAACCAACTTTGAAAAATTAGTTTTCAAAGTTTGGTAAATGTTTCTTTGAAAATGGTTTTCAAAGTTTGGTAAATGTTTCTTTGAAAAATAGTTTTTCAAAGTTTGGTAGATGTTTGTTGAAAAATGATAATGGGATAATCACAATTAATCCCTAGGCTTAGGGTATTTACAAGATTAAGTCATTAAGTTTCAACTATAAATACCCTAGCTCATTTAGCTTCAAACCATCCAAAATCATTTCTTTCTCCCAATACTAGAGAGCTTTCTTGTGAGTAGTGAGTGTTTTGTAAACACCTGTAAATTTTCTCTCTTAGTAAAAGATCTGCATCAGTCCGGAGACGTAAGCAAATTGGCTGAACTCCGTTATCAATTTCGGGTATTATTTTTTCGCTTTTATTTCGCATTCTCACTAATCTGGTTATAGGGAAATTACTCGTACTCGGTTTATTTCCCAACATGATGTATTAGCAAATATTTTTAAGACATTTGTATACGTTTAATTTTGAACCTCTCATTCAATAAAACTCACTTATTCACAACATTCTCTCTTACATTGTTTTTTTTAGCAATTTTTCATTTATGAACAAAGTTTTTGGTGACTTTCTAGACGGGTTTTATTCTGGTATTCTTTAATTGCGAGAAAAGAATAATATTATTAAAGATTTTATTTTCTTGTTTCGGGTATATAAGGTTTGAAAGATTATTAAAAAAATTATTTTTCATATGTTGTTTCCCGCTAAAGCTTGGAGAAATTGGCATCTTAGCTCGAAAGGCGAGCTATGTCGACGATCTTTCAACCGGCAGTAGGGTTTTTCGTCGGCATGGGCCTTGATCAGTCCACAGACTTGTGATATTTTCGTTTGGATCAAAAGCAAACAAACTCATAATAACCGAATATTGCATTTCTTTGGGCATCATGATGACCCAAAGAAACAAACTCATAAATGGTATAAAGAAAACAAGAAAATATACGTGTTATAGGGCCAGCGGGATATTCCGATGCCTCTGGTGTCACAACCCTATTTTAAAATTAAATAAAATAAAAAATTATAAATTAATTTGGTTGATTTAAGGATTAAGTTGCAAGTTTCTGAAACTTGCAACTGGATTTTGAATTTGTAGGAAGTTCAGATACTTAATCCTGAATTTACCTATTTTTTGGTCGGTAGATAAAAAAAGATAAGGTGACTACAAGGATTTGAACGCACATTTAGTGGTATGGCTGTGCTAAATCATTATACGCCTTCTTGTTTTGGACACAGGATATTCTTGTTGGGCTGTTGCGGTTGCTAAAATGTGGCCGGAACACTACTTGCCCTGAACTAATGGGGAAATGTTCTATCGTCCGTGAACTTCATGTGTATGGAACCGCTATTCCAGTGCACGGCAGGGATGCTGACAAACTGCAACATCAGGTAATGGTCAAATCATTAGTACTAAAATAAAACGTAAAAAGAATGGTGTCGAACAGAAGCTACTCTATTTCGAGGTGGATACATTCCTTTAAAATGTCCGGACTAGCCTGGGCATCAAGTAATCATCAGCTGACTCTGAGCGCATGTGTGTTTCTCCCGTCTTTGCAGGGTTACGGTACACTTTTGATGGAAGAAGCTGAACGCATAGCCAACAAAGAGCATAGATCGACAAAAATAGCTGTTATATCTGGTGTAGGAACCCGGCATTATTATAGGAAATTAGACTATGAGCTTGAAGGCCCTTACATGGTCAAATGTATAGTCTGGTAAGGCTAGTTTCGATATATAAAAAAATAGCGTAAAATTCTAGCAATACATAAATCATAATTTTTGTTCAAATTGTTTGCCTGCATGAACCCGTATTTGTATACTCGCCTTTAAATATTTTCAGAAGACCCATGGAGATTTATACAGTTTTGATGAATATTTTATGACAAAAGGTGGAGTGTTGGAGTATTTCTAGCGATTAGTAAGTTCGAGTCGAACATCTGATTCTTCAATTGAAGTTCTTGGAGTATCTTCAATTAGAAAGATGAATTAATATAAACATGGATTTCTCAACTGAACAATAGTTTTAGTGATTACAGATAATTCAAGTATACAAAGTAAATGATTAAATTCTTAAAATGATAAAACATGCATCACATGCATTTATATTTTTCTTCCATGTTATTAAATATATGATGTAGTCATTATGTTTTAGGGCAAAATACAGAGAGACACTCAATTATATGATTGGTAACAAATGAGTCACTTTTTTTTCCTAAACATTATAATTCAGCCACTCACTATTTATAGGTCACTTATTGTTAAATAACGGAATGATGTGTAGGTAATAATAATTTTATTATTTAAAAATTAAAATTTATTTAATTCAAAATAATTTAATAATATAACTCTTTATATTTAAAATTTAAAAATATCAACTTAATTTTTGTTTGTTTTCTTCTTAATTTTTTGTTCTTCTCAAAAAAAATGTTATATTAATTTCTTATAATTTTTTGGTATAATAACATTTAACAATAATTTGTTAATCTTTTATGATATTCAATTATTATTTCGATTTGATGGACTATTTGGTTTGATAATATTATAAAAATATTAAATTGATCGAATTTATATATAAATGATTATATTTATTGAATAGTTTGGCCAAATTAATAAAAATATATAAACTTGAAAACTAAAATTATTATTATGTCAACTTATAGGTAAATATAATTATTATTTAGGAGATATATATTGGGAATATTCTATATTAATATAGAAAAAGTAGATGTGTAGATATCATAAAATAATATAGATATTTGTATTATTTAATATTATATCTATAATTATCTATTAGAAAAATCTAGATGTAATGTTAAATGACTAAGATGTTTTACCACTAGAATATAAATAGGGGTGAGTTTTATCATTGTAATAAGAGTGAAAAGAGAGAAAAAGTGTACCTAGACTAGTTTTTCCTCCCTCCATTTTAAGTTAAAAATACTAAACCCTCAAAATTTTTAGAAATTCATATTAACTTTACATTTTTAATCTTCTTAATTTTTTAAAGTTTTAAGTTAGCCCTCAAAACTTTATTACCAAGTTCCGCTATTGAAAAAGTTGGATGAAGTTACTGATAAATTTAAGAAACCATCAATTGGGGGAATTATCATTCACCCAAATTCAGAGATTACAGAGGAGAAGACATACTAAATTCAAGAAATGAAGTAAAACGAGCGCTGATTTTTGGGTTATTAACTGATACCAAACAACAATTAAGCCTTAATGCAAGCATTAATGACACTTGAAGCTAGTATTGGACCGCTCTAAAGAAACAAACTCATAAATAGTACAAAGCAAACAAATAAATATTCAATATTTCAAAATATATAAACTAATTAAGCACAAATTCAACATACATGTTTAGTAATTGGTTTAGTTAAATTCACTTTTTTCATAATATTATGTGATTTGTAAAATCCATATTATGATTGATCTTATTTTTTGTTTCTAAAATGATATTTCTTAACCCCAAAAAAAAAAGTAGGTTGAAGACTTGAAGAGCATTGATGAAATAGACCGCTCCATTTCACTTTCTTTGCATTTATATGAAATTGCACGTTTTCTTGGAAGATAAGTCTGCCCTACAGATTTACTCTTTCGGAAACTTAGATGAGGTAGCTAGGCTAGTGCTCATGCTCTTCTGCAAAATCAAGTGGTGAGTTGACCCCTGTCTCACGACATATCTGACCATTTTCCATTCATGTGTAGTGCGGGTACCATGTGGTTCAAGAAAATTCAAACTTTTTCGTATTAAAAATGATGATTTAAACAATGAAATAGATATAAAATGTTAATATAGATTATTCAATATTTCAATTAACTCAATATTCATTAATATTTTTAAGATAAATTTAAATTTAATAATTTTAAGCAAGCCTTCAAGTAGAGAGACGAATAGATAGTCATAGGGAATCTGACATACACACACACACTAAAAGGACAAGTGCACTATTAGCTATGGATCAGCATTCCCGCACTTTAATTCCTGCACAAGAAAAGCCCGTGCGGGGTCCTGCCCTCTTTCTTTCGATGATCATCTTTATTCTTTAGCTTAAAACTCCTTTTGTTTAAGAGATTCAGTAATTATCCTAAAGTTTTCTTTGCTTTGTGTCTGGGTTCTTGAGGTTGCAGGAAGATTCCAGGCAAACACCCAACACATACTATTATCAAAGATTTTGCTTTAGATTATTCATTGGAAGGCAATAATTAGGAGCTGGACCGGTTGTGCAGGTTCTGAGAGGAACTAACATGGCCTTGTCGGTTGTTCTGTAAGAGTACTAGCTCTCTCAGTGTCACCAGTCGTTAATGCTAATCACTGGGCTTTTGTTTCAGTACAAAACAACCCACACACCTGTTGCTTTGTTTATATGGATTTATGGGCTTTGATTGGTGGGTAGGAAACAAAAATCTCTTATATATCCTTCTTTCTTTTAGTCTCTTCTCCTGGTCTTTTACTTAACCATTTTTTCAAGACTCCAGTTTAGTGTTTTACCTTAATCTATGGTAAAAAGACGAGCTTTCTCTCATCTGGTTCCTCATGCAACTGATTTAAATCAAAAACTCACTACTGTTATCAGTTTAATTTGTCAAAGGTAAGTTCTTTGTAGAACATGTAGTCTCGTGCTTACAATTGTTTATGATGGTGAACTAGGGTTAAAAAGATTGCAGGAACTGTTTGGAGTTGTTTATTAGCTTAATAAAGGGTGGATGAGATCAAGATTTCAAGGTGTTTTTCATTAGAAATCAGTGGTTTAATGGAACCGGGAGGGCGAGATAAGGAAATGGGGATGCTAAGCTCTTTTAGTTATAATAATAAACTCAACACTGAACCAAGAACCCTAGATCACCACACTGAACCGAACCCACAACATCAAATAGAGAATCCGGGTCAACACCCAGAACCAGTTTCAGCTCCGGTTCCACTGCCTCCAACAGAAGATGGTCCTTTGATCAGATATGGAGAATGTTTGAAGAACCATGCGGCCAGGATGGGCGGCTATGTCGTCGATGGCTGCGGGGAATTCATGCCGAGCGGGGAAGATGACGCCGGGGAGGCCTTGAAATGTGCAGCCTGTGAATGCCATAGGAATTTTCATAGAAAAGAAATGGACGGCGGATCGCAGTGTCCCACAACAACGTGCTGTGCTTTTCCCTACTACAAAAACAATACGAGGAGACCAACACCTCTTCGCCAACAAAGATGTCCCCCTGGATTGTCTAACAGTACTACTCATTGTTTGCCGGTTGCACCGCCTGTAACGATGAACTTTGGCGGTGGAAATAGTGGCGGCAGGGCGGAGCCATCGAGTAAAGATCTGAATGTGTTTGCAGGAGGTCGAGATTCATGGCATTTACAGTCATCAAAGAAGAGGTTTAGAACAAAGTTCAGTGAAGATCAAAAGGAAAAGATGAGGGAATTTGGCAAGAACTTGGGTTGGAGAATCAAGAAACAGGATGAAGCACAAGTGCAGCAATTTTGTGGTGAAGTGGGAGTTAAGAGACAGGTTTTCAAAGTATGGATGCATAACAGTAAACAAGCTATGAAGAGAAAACAACTGTAAGAAAAGTAGCAAACTCATTAAATCTGTAATATTCTTCTTGATTCATTTAGTATTTTAGATATAATTTCTGATAGTTCTTATAAACTCACATATATCATACTTCTTCCTACTAAAATTTATAGGATAACTGTTTGATATATAATATGCTTTTTTAAATAATAATAGAATTATCATGAGTGTTTATTTTATAAATTTAATAATTAAAAATTTTATCATCATAATTTTATAAGAAATTATATACAAGTTTATTATTTTAAGGGCATCAAAACTTGCTTTCCCTCCTGATTTCACTCGGGTCTAGGTCTATAAGTAATAACAAACACCTTAATGACTTTACTACAAAATATAAAAAAACTTTAGTATGAGGTGATGTATTTGGAATTTCGAAGGATTAATAACACTGATGCCCCTGTACTTTGATAAAAATAGATAAAGTAGTATCTATACTTTTAAAATATTCAAAATACGCTTTATGTTTTACTTTATCTTCTAATATGTTTACCGAGTCTAACGTTATAAAAGATGATATGGTAGGACACGTAATCAGGAATGGATCGAGAAGAGTAGGGTCGGGAGCAATTATCATGTAATTTAGTTATTTTTTATTGATATTCTAATTTTTTCTTAAAATTTTATAATTCACTTCTTGATATAAAATACTACGTCTGTTTCCGACTACTAAAATAACTAATATTGATTTTTTTTCTGAATGAAACTAATATTACTTTTTAAAGGCCACTATTTAAACTTTTTGAAAGAATAGGTAACCTAAATTAATAGTCAACAAATCCCACTAAAAACATACGTTAGAATCTCAACCAGAACCCATTATTTCTTCCCACTCGGTGGCTTAACCTCTTTCACTAGTTTGATGATAGATGGTGTTGTTCTAGTTTAAAGTATGCAGATCTTTTCAGTTTTCCTCCCCCTAACTGTTCCATTTGACTCATTAATCATGGTTGCTTCAAACCCTACCATAAAGTATTGTATGTTCGTCTATAATTAAAGCCGGGCCAACCGGAGGTTGGCGGTTTTTTTGGTTGATATTGACATGATCAATAGGCATCATGATCCCATTTTACATGGTTGCCAATGTTTCAAGGTTAGGATTAGTAATTTTCAAGACTTGAGAAACCTTGTTTTGGAGCCACAACTCGGGCCATGGTTTACATGGCAGTCCTCATTTTACTCTCTATGTTTCCAGTGTAATGTTCTAATGATCAATATAAAGCCATGATTGAATGTGCTTCATATTCTAACTAGATTGCCACACGTACATGATTATAACGCTATATTATATTAATATATATAAGAAACTTAGATAATGTAACGATTAAAATGTTTTAAATTTTTTTTATTTAAATATTTATAATTTAATATTATAATACATATAATATCATAAGAATAATTTTGTAAAATATATATTTTTGAGTAATATTCATCGAACCAAACACTATAATCTTATATTTATACTAAACAAATCAAATAAGGTAATGCAACATTTACATATTAATTTTATATCATAGCAATCTTATTCCCAAATATAATATTATATTTCATGAACCAAATGTCCCCTCAAAATTATACGGATAAAGCCAAAAAAAAATTAGTTGAGAGACATGGGATAAAATATAAATTATTAGAAAATCAAATAGAAATAAATGGACGACACTTCGATTGGTTCAATGGCTAAATTTAGGCTTTTAGGTCAGCCCAATTATACCCAGATTTTCCTTGTCTTTTTTGTTATTTGAACAAATTATATCTATATAGTTTTGTTATTTTACTCGATTTATTCTTTAGACTTTTATTTATTTTTGCTTGAATTTACTTAGATTATTGATATATAATGTAAAACATTTGGTTCAAACGTCAAGCAATATTAAGAATGAGTTAAGATCAGAAGAAAATACAAAGAAATACAAAAGCAAATAGTAATAGCGGTATCTAGTATGAAGTAGGGAGATCATTACTTTGTTTTTTTTTTTCTTATTATGATTACCATTTACTATTATACAACGCTAGATTGATAGTCTTTCTGCAACTGTCTCTGGTTGTATGAGTGTTGTGTTATTTTTCACCTTTGTCTTTGACTCCTTAGAGGCCTGAAAGACAAAGAAAATATAGGTTAGACTTTGGAGAAAGGAATTTTATCGACTTTTTTTATAGCTCACTGAAAATCTTGAAAACAAATCCAAACTATTCTGAAAAGGAACATTATCAGTTTACGCAATAATGCAGTCTATGGTTCCAAATAGGTTGGAAGTGTAAAGACAAATGCATAAAATTTTAATACAAAAACATATTCCTAGTGATCGAGAAAGTGAGAATAAAGATGGTAAACTATCGACTCATGATTTTTCTTAGTGATACCTTTATTCAAATCAAACAGAAGAAGGTGATCCTTTTTTTTATTATCACGTGGGAATCTCTTAACTGGTACCAAGTTATATAGAACCGGTGACATGTTATCCAAAAAGGTTAAGATTAGATCCCATGTTGGATTTTTCTTCTTCTTTTGGCTTATAGGAATTTTGTCCCAAAAAAGAATATCAAACATAAATGATGATAAGCAGTTAAGTGAACAGGATGGTTGCCTAATGTTCAGTAGGAAAAAGGGGCAAAACTGGTGGGCCACTGAAAAAACCGGGGCTTGAAGAGTTCTTATTCCTCATTTTTAGGACTATGGAGCATGGACCCACAAGGGGACTCCGGTTATCAATGTTTTAGGACTTTGGGAATGTCAGTATATGATCTAAGTAAGAGTTGTTATAGGTTTGTGGAGCTACAAAGACAACATTGATAGTTCTCTGGAACAATGTTTATTTGAACGAACATTGTAAGATTTCGAGTATTCATTCCAAAAAGTAATCAAAGGTGCATTGTTAGGACGTGAAGTTCATTCATATCACAGGGTTCTTCACTTAACTGGAGATGTTGAAGTGTATCTGTATAACTTGTTAATACTGACAAATAAGAGTGCAAAATACAATGAAAAGTGGTTTAGATGATTCTTTTGGGTTCAGTACTGTCATATTAGTGAACTTAAGTAGATCATATTACCGGTCACTGTTTTAGCCGCTGCTGCCACTTGGATATGGATATGGGTACCGGCCAGACTCAATGTCTTTGAGATCCTTGACTAGGATATCATAGTGCATCTTGACTTCCTCAGCTGACTTTCCACCCACAGCCTTGGCAACATTGTGCCAGCGGTCGGGGGTGTCCTGATCATATTTAGCCAGGGCCTTTTCGAAGGTTTTGTTTTGCTTAGGTGTCCAGGAGGAGCTAGAGCAATGTGAAGAAGTGCGAAAATTGGATTACATAAGTGAAAATATAATTCAATTGAAAACAGTCTGGATCAGAAAGACTGAAGCTTGTAATAATGATGGGGTTGCTTCTCTTAAAGACAATTACTTGAACTTGGAGGGGTGGTATGGGAAAGGAGCACCTTATAAGCAAGTATGGTGGGGTTGAGCCGCTTGGGCGAATATATCCTCCAAAATGACAGATTATAATGTGATGGGACCCGTCTCCTTAGGAACCACTAGATGGAGCAGTAAAAGAGAAGAATCGATACCCAAGGACAGTCAATGGCCGTATTCCTTGATTAGTTCACCGGCAAGTGAGATTCGCCTTGCTAGTTACTAATTCAGTGAAAAGAAAAATCAGATATAGATACCATTAGCTGGAGCTTACTCATCCCCTGTCGTCTTCTGATGGTCCATCAATTAGCAAAGCAGTAGTTGCATTAGTTAATGCATTTTCATTTAGGATGAAAGTGGACCATCAGATTTGCTAATGGCATCTATATCTGATTACCAAATGGTATCATTAACTAATGGTATCTACATCTCAATGGGCACACTACTGACCGCTAGCAAATCTTGCAAGATCTTGCTGATGAATCTTATCAATGGTATCATTAACTAGTGGTATCTATATCTCAATGGGTGCTTAGAAATTATAACTCTCATATTGGCAACAAGGTTCAAGAAGCCATGGTAGTTAAAACTTATATTACTCCATCTTTTCATTTTCAATCTTTTTCTTCTGGGGTAGCGGTGTTTAGCATATGTTTAGATATGGAATACGGACATGATCCTGCAAAGGTTCTTCAAGTAAGTAAAAAGTTGGGACACAATTTAACATATTTGTTTGGATCATATTATCATGTCTGACATTTACACCCAAATCCAAAAAATATAGGTTAGAACTAAGAATATATATTTTTAATTAATTGCACTAAAAATTCTCAAATTATTTCCTAATTCTAAATTGATCTCAAACTTCAAAATATTATAATCGGGTTAACAAATTATCAATATTGCTTGTCAAGTCATTTCATCACTCTAATGATCTACTTACCATTAAATGCCAACTCACATGTGATGTTAAGCATAGTTAAAATACATTATTTAAATTAAAACGTATACATGTTGCATAGATAGATAGCTTGGGCTCAATGTGGAGTGAAGATACACTTGTACTGTTTTACCTCATCGTGCAAGATTTTCCTGTCACCGCCTTCCTTCCCAAGAAACATGGATGAATTCCCATATTTTTACCTTGATAGCTGCTCATTTGTATTTACTTAAATTTTCAAAAGAAGATGCCTAAATAGACATTCTGTTTCCTTTGTGATACAATTTATTTTAGACTTAATTGCACCAAACATCCTAAATTATGTTTTTATTTTAAATTGGTCTTCAAACTTTTAAATATTTTAATTTCATCCCTAAACTATGTCTCACATTCTAAATTAATCCTGAAGCTTTTGAACATTTTAATTTCATCCCCAAAAAAACTATATCCATCATTCTAAATTAGACCCCAAACTTTTGAATATTTCAATTTCATCCACAAACTATCAATATATGCTAATTACTTCTCGTGTTAATAAAATTATCATGGAAACCGTTAATTGTCATATAAACACTAACGTGTATTATGAAATAATATGATGTGGAATTAATAATAATTATTGTTGGATTTAAAAAAAATGAATTAAATTCGAATTGTAAAAAGAAATATAAACAAAATTGAGAGAACAATAATAAAAACCAAAGAACATTTCAATTTCATTCTAAATAATAATACTGGAAAAACGTGATACACATTAATTATCGTTTATACCATATCATATCATTATATAATACACATTAGTGCCTATATGACAGTTAACAATTTGATTACATATGACATGATTAGCATATACTAATTATTTAGGGATAAAATCAGAATATTTAAATGCTTGATGACTAATTTAGAATAAGGATCATAGTTTGGAATGAAATTGAAAAGTTCAAAAGTTTAAGAACCAATTAAAATGATAGACACAATTTAGGAATGAAATTAAAATGTTCAAAATATTTAGGGACTATTTTAGATGAGGGTCATAATTTGATATGTGTGGTACAATAATCTCTTTCGTTTATAATAATTATTATTATAACATTTTACTAAGTTTTAAAAAGGTGTTTTTTTACTAAATAATATATTAACTTAAAAGAAACTTTCTATCATATTTTTTCGGCTTATTATACAAAATAGTATCTGAACTTTTTTTTTCAAATTAGTACTTAAATTTATAAAGAATTTTCAAATTGGTATCTAATTTTGAAAATAAATTCTTTTTCAAAAAAAATTAATAAGAGACGCATTGTCGTTCTGTAACTCTTCGATATTACTCTTCAATTTTGTTCTCCCCTTCCAATCAAGATTTTGTTTATGTCATGTCTTCAATAGTGCTATTGGATTTGATAAACAAAATTTCAGTTAAATACGACGTGCTTTTGCACATATATGATGTCCTAAATGAAAAGTTGAGTGAACTTAATGATAAAATCTAGCATGAAACAATCTTGCGAAACTATAATTTGGGGAAATTATCATTCCCCCAATTTCATAGATTACAAAAGCAAAAAAAACAAATTCATGGGATAAATTGAAGAAACCCAAGCCGAATGAGAGTTGATTTTCGGTTTGTTGAACAATGCGAAACAACAATTAAATGATTGTGGGAGCATCAGAGTCCAATCACTCGAGGATCTTCAAGTAGTTAAAGCAATACATGTGACCTATAATTGGATGGGATTCATCGTCAACTGCGCCGCTAATGAGATGGTGCATTTAGTGATAAACCAGTGAGTTGTCGAAACCCCAGGCATGGATTTCATATAATCGCTTGTTGAACTATTTTATTTAATATTGAAATATTTTTATTCTTTCTTTAATTTCTACTAAGAAATATTTTGAAATACTTAAAATTTAAAAAAAATTAAGGTCTAACTAAAATTTTTGAAAATTTGAAAGGTTTAATGAGAATTTTTAAAAATTATAGAATGGGTTTTAATTAAGAACATTAATTTTTTTAAAAGTTTAATATTAATTTCTAAAAATTTTGAGACGGACAAATTAAATTTTTTTAAAAATTTTAAGAATCTAAATTATAATTTTAGTAATTTTGCCTTAAAAAAGAGGGAGGAAAAAATTAGTATGGGTACACTCTTTTCTCTCTTTTTCAATCTTATTATAATGGTAAAACTCACCCCTATTTTAATGGTCATTGGATTTTTTACACATGTTAACATCTTAGTCATTTAATATTACAAATATCTATATTCTTCTAATAGATAATTCTAGATATAAAATTAAATAATACAAATATCTAAATTATTTTATAGATATATCTAAACATCTACTATTTATATATTAATCTAGAATATTCCCAAGATATATCTCCTAAATGATAATTATATATTTACCTATAAGTTGTATTGGATTTCAACAACAATGTTCAATCAACCTTATATTCAACTATTTAATCTTTTAGTCCATAAATTTAATATGACCATGCCAAAATGCATTAAATACCTCATAAACTATCATATAACATGTCTCCAATCTAAGTATATAACACATATATCCACCATGTCTCATAATAGACCATCATTAAAATGTATTTGTCTCTTTGTTTTGAAATTTCATTCTCATCCATGTTTCATTCATGTTAATAATTTTGGGCATGCAACATTACTTATAGCTCTAGAAATTTGGGTGATAATTTTTACAGTTGCATCAATAGCAAAGTCAGAGGATGGTACACTTGCTTTTTGTTTTTTCCTGTGAAACTCCTAATTCTCTCTTAGTGTTTTTTTCTAGATCATCCCTAAACTTGCAAATTGCCTCATTTGATACATTTTGGACAAACTTAGCATGTATTTCAGCTTTTTTACGTGCCACTTTCTCCTCATTCGACTGTCGTTTGAGCTTCGTGGTTGACTTCTTCATCTTTAACTCAACCTATTCAAATACTATTATTTATTAATTCATGCTTATAGTTTCATGAATAAAATATACAGACTAACAATAATTTATAAAAATGAGATGTAAAAACAGATAAAATATGTATCATCAAATTAACAAATATCATTATAGTAATTCGCCTAATATGATCTTTGTATGATTTTTTCACGAGCTCTTTAAACTCGATCATTTCTTGTTTAGAGCGGCCTTTCTAAAAAGCATCCTCTTCATTTTGGTCACAGATAGTTACCTCTTTGTCACATGAATACAATCACACATTGACACACATTCCTACTTTACATTAAGTTCTTAAATGAAAACACTAACCTTAAGTTCAACAAACAATTCATCATAATACGGTTGCCCACCATTTTGTGCAATGAAAGTCAGTGACGGAACTAAATATTATTCTTTGGGGGGCCATTTAATTTTTTTTGAGTAAACCAAGAATATTAGTAACGCATATAATGTTTTTCTTGAGAAAATAGATAATTAGATTAATAGATTTAATATGGACATGCATTAAGTCAAATTTCATCAGAATACAATTGCTAAAAGAAAACACTAACCTTAAGTTCAACAAACAATTAATCCAAATACGGTTGCCCACCATTTTGTGCAATGACAGTCAGTGGCGGAACAAAACATTATTTTTTGAGGCATTATTTTTTGGGGGGTCATTTAATTTTTTTTAGTAAACCAAGAATATTAGTAACGCCTATAAGTTCAACAAGTTCAACAAACAATTCATCAGAATACGATTGCACACTATTTTGTGCAATGACAGTCAGTGGCGGAACTAAACATTATTTTTTGGGGGGCCATTTAATTTTTGTTTGGAGTAAACCAAGTATATTAGTAACACCTATAATGTTTTTCTTGAGAAAATAGATAATTAGAGGAATATATTTAATATGGACATGCATTAAGTCAAATTTCATCTCGTTTATTAACTGGATATTCCTACATTGCCTTACGTAACTCGGGATCACGTTCTATAAACAAAAGTTTAACGTTTTCAACCTCAACAACTAGAGACATAGAAGGAGTCTGTGTGCCCGCGTACATGTCTGTGCATGTATGTGTATGTGTAAATTTTTTTTAAGATTAAAATTCATGAACACACATAATAAATATATATTTAAAATAAAATCATAAATATTTATTGAATTAAAAACATTTTTAAAAATTTATCTTCAATTGAGATGAAACACTTTATAATTTCATTGAAGTCATCAACTTGATGAATAATTCAAAGAAGATGAACAACCAAAGAAGAAAAAATACATAAGTTTTTATATTTTAAAATAAAAAATGACAAAAGAAAATGGATATTAATTATTTTTAATAAATAATATTTAGTTGATTTCCAAATTCTGAAGTAATATACATATTTTTTTGTGGCAACCAATTTTTTTTTATTAAAGAGAGATATTATATTTATAATGCAAATATCAAGATTCGAACCTACATAAGGTGAGACAATATGAGTATCATTGACTATTCAACTAATTAATAGATCTAGGACAATCAAATTTAATAATTTATTATACACAATCAAATTTAACAATTTATTATACACGTCTCTATAGGGGTCTAAATTTAATAATTTTAATATATATATATATATATTATATGTATATAAATATACATATGTATTTCTTTAATACTTCGGTTGGGGGCACTACCCCACTAGTCTTAAGGGTGTTCCACCCCTATTGTTGAAACTCAAGTCCTTTAAAGAGAATAATATTATCTTCTACCACGGAAATAACTTAATAGATTCCACATGATATTAAATTTATTATGTAGAATGGATCACATGATAACACCTCCGATACTCACAGACTCAGTAACGTAGTCGTATATGTATATGGTTGAAGTTTACCAAGGTTTTGCATATGCGTGCTTAAAAGGATAATTATAAGACTGGATATAGACCTTCCAAGAAAAGCTTCCATTAGAACATAAATGTTGGTAACAAACTACATGAAGCATTCCAAGGGGGAGAGGCGAATCCTCTTACCAACATACTACATCATTCACAGGCCGATTCGGAACAAAGCTGCTCTGGCAGATTGCAAAGGCAAGGAAGGGTTAACAATAATCCATGGTAACGTCAATAACATAGACCTACGATCTGTGGTGATCATTCGCAAGCCGGTTTGGTGTCAAAACTGCTTAGGCAGATTGCGAATGCTTGAAATGCAGATAGAGGGTAACGATAATCCATGGTGAAGATGTCTTTACCGATTTTTCCAAACTGTAAAATTACCTTCTCTTGCTCTTCCAGTGGTACGTTATGTGATGGCTCAACAGCTGCAACTAGCTGGAAATTCTTAACAGAGGCCACCGTCACACGCCCCTTAAAGTTAAGGCACCAGCACTGTAACTGTTCATGCCATCTTGGAGCTTTGTTCTTTAGGGTTAGTGGCTCTCCTGATTCCAGGGCGATGACTGGAGTGGCAGGGAGGGATGGGGAGCTGGTGTCTGTCACTGGTTCCTTTCCTTTTGAACTGGTCAAGGAAAAAAGTTGTTCGTCAGAGGATTTTCCAAATGCTAATGGTGTCGGTGCAGTGCCTCCTTCCTGAATAGCAGAAACAGGAATCGAGTGCAAAATGCAATGTATTCTCCTTGGTCCCCGTGTTCGCAAAACATTGAGCTCATAGGTAATGGTACATATGTTGCAGTTGGATGAGGATAGCTTTGGAGATGCCTGCTTTGAATAGAATCTTCGACTCGATCGAGTAGTAGTTGATGGGATTATCCAATCACATGGAGATTGACCGTCATATATTGTGAACTTGGTACCAAAAAAATTAGACCTGCAAAGAAATTTCATATGTCACAATTGATATTACTAGGAGAATAACCGGAGAAAGATAGGAAATCCAAAGGTCAGACTTGCCTTAGTTTACCAACATATGTATGGCTGGCCCTAGAAAACTCATCAGCAACCAAAGATACAACAAAGTCCGTGCATGTAGCCCTTCTGACCTTCCTTGCTGCTAACAACAATTTATCCCTCGATCCCTCGGCTGTAGATCAAAGAAGCAACATAAGTGGATACTTCTCAAAAAGTATGGAAGCTTCAAAAACATGTTTCCCCAAATATTATATTATTTAGCTGAAATGATGAGAATAATTTATGATAACTACAAAGCTAATAAACACTGATTCTGTCAATGCCAGCTTCAACTGAACACAAGTATGGTACGGGAACAGGAAAAATGGAAATGTAATGTTAAATCATGTTTCTACCAAAACAGATATTCACTTACAAGGCATCAAACCATGGAACAAAAGATATGTAGAAGTTGCTCTGTCCCTTCTAATATAGCATTGAATTGGGGACTCACGAGGACCCGGCTGTTCATAAACACCAATAGAATATATAAACAACCTTCTAAATGGAAGAATAAAATGATACATAGCCACTCCCATTATTTATGAAGACAGACATGAGAGCAATTGTTGAATGCATATAGCAGGCACAGACTGCGATAATCTAGACCTATCATATAAACATGTGTTTGTTCGTAATACTAAAATTAAATATTCATTTGCAACCCAGTATTTGATTCAAGATCGAAAAGTCCCACTGTGGAAATATTGATTGCAAGACAACTATGTTCTTTGCAAAGATGCAGACAACAAATATATCAGATTATAATTGCAAATATTTTGGCCTTTTTTCCCATGTAAATTTTACTAACATCGAAATAACCAGTACTTCATTCCCAATGGATTAGAATGACATATTCCAATAGAGAAAAAGTACAAGTACAACCTGCTTCAACGAAATGGGGAATGTGAGCCTTCCACATTGCTCAGGGTTCTTCACAATCTCCTTTGTAATCCCCCTCCAAGACCTACAAACTGCTGCACAAAACACAACCGCTGCTCGAGCAGGCCAAGCGGTCTCGCTCCCTTCAACCCTCTGGATGATATCTAGGAGCAGTTCAGGAGGTAGGTTCGACCAAGGGCTTTGGTCTATAGATTCGGGTTCAGCCTGTGCTTGATCAGGAGCAACATGGGATCGAGTCCGACTACGCCAAATCTTGCTTTCCCCTCCACTCTTCGATATGTTCCCAATATCCTCTTTCATTTCCTTCAATTCTCTCATAATACTCTTGAACGACATCTTTTATAAGCATATCAAATCCAATCTCTTAATATTCAACTACAAATATATAACATATCCGTTAAAGATAAACAGCAAAAATTGAAGTTTTTCCAATATTAAAATCTCAGGTTCTCAGTTCTACTACAAGCAAATTTATATCAAACCAAACTCCAAAAACTAAAATTATTGAAACTTAATTCATAAACTAACACCAAAAACAAAAAAGAAACAAAACCCAAAGATCAACAACCAATAAATTATATGAAATGTAAAAAAAATGAATCTCTTTTTACCTGAATGACCAACCCAGAAAAGCTAAAAGCTCGAGATTCTGAGAAGAAACAAAGATGAAGAAACCAGCTCTAAGCCAAAACGGGTTCAAATCAACCCAGAAATGAACCAACTCAGATGCATTCCCCACACTCTTAGGGACCCAAACAGTTCAATCGACACCACGAACCAGCAACAAAGATCAGATCAGAATGAAAAAAATAATTAAAAACGTTTTCAGTAATTAAAAAAAGGTGCCAACTTTTTTTTTCTCGTTTTATAAGCCGGAATCCTAAGACAGCCACATCATTTCTAACACCGGTGCGACCGCCACAACCAGGGACAAAGCCGACAGTTCTCCCGTCATCACCACCACAGCGTCAGAGACCAAAGCTCTCTTTCACTTAAAGGGATTCAAAGATTTCTTTTTTAATATATATTATTAAAAAAATCTTTAGAAAATATTAATAAAATAAATATTAAATGTTATTTCCTTGTTTATTTTTTTAGTTGTCTTATTAATTTTAAGATTTCGTATTAACTAATTATAATTAATCTATATTGTACATCTGATTTTGATAAGTAAATTTTTTAGTATAATTTTTTTACGACATGAGAATTTAAATTTGAGATTTTAATTAAACGATATCAAATTACTTATCACTTGAACCAACATTTGTTGTTAAAAAATAATATTTTGATTAATTATTATTTTATGGAATTAATTATTATATTTTATTATTTCACATTTTCATCACTTGAGTGAGTGACAAAGAAAAGCATGTTGATGAAGGCACGTGGCAATCAATCAAGTATTTGCGGATATACGTATTTTTCAACCCACACGATTAGTATTTTCATAACAGAAATTTTTATACGTTTTAAAATTGAAAACTCTGTTTTTTCATTAAACTTGAATGATTTAAAATGTTATTTTTTTTATTAAAATTATATATATCTTTTCCTAAATATGTCATATAGTATATTTTAATTGGTCGAAAATTTATTTTTAACGAATATTAATAATTGGGGACGAATTATTATAAAATCTGAATATTAATAATAAAATAGACATAGCAATAAAATAATTATCTTGTTTTTCACGTATGTTGAAAGTGAAGTATCAGAAAAGGTGCATATTTAGATGATAATAAGGTGGTTAAGTATCCAAAGAGAACAATATAGTTTATGTAGGCACATACGATAGCAACGGATTCCGTTACATACGGAGTCTCCTTGCAAAGCATTGTATATGGGTATTATATTGAAGGAGAATGCTTACATGTATCAATACGTATTCAATGTTGTACAGGTATTGTTCTACGTGACTATGAGGGTGTGGGTGTGGGTGTGGGTGTGGGTGTGGGTGTGGGTGTGGGTGTGGTTGGTTGTTTTCTTTCTATCCTTGAGTATCGCGTGGTTGGTATCGTTAAAGCTTTAATAATCTGTCATGGAATCCGAATGATTGTGTAAATGGAGCTTCCGACTACTGTCGTGGGGAGTCACTCATTAAATGTGGTTCATCATTTGGAGAATCCCAAGTTCATCAGTCAATTCTCAGTTCTTCCTTCTTGAAGCACGAGAACCTATTATTTCTCACTCTCATATTTCAATCCAATTTGTCCGACGTCAGACTAATGATGCAGCTTATGCGCTCGTTAGTTATGTATCCATGACGGTAACTCCAGACCCAGTCTGTAAGATACACTCAAATTTAAGTGGTCACATATCTCATTCAGAGGTTTTTTTTATAACTTATAGAACGTTAAATATAATATAGAACAAAATATTAATAATACAGATATGTCCAAAATTATAACAAATACATGTCACCAAACATAACTGAAAAACATATAGAAATATATGTTCGTACAAAATAAGTAGTTGATTTCCCCTGTGCCAAATCTGCTAGTTCACAGTCTGTTGTTATCTGAAAAAGGGTAAAAACTATAGAATGAGCTAAAAAGCTCAGTGTGCTCCAAACAGTGTATAAAACATACGAATAAAATATTCCAGTAAAATCAGTTATCAAACATGTTCTATTTTTTTTAAAATAGGAATACTACCCCCATCCATCAAGTCTAAATTGTGTAGGTTCCCCAGAACCATACACCCACCAACAAGACCAGTAAGGCCCTGAGCACACAGCAGAGGAGCCGGTAAATAAGGTCCTGAGCACACAGCAGAGGAACCTCCAGGTATACTTCCTCCAACATTATTCCCCCAAATAATCATATCTGCTTATAACGGATATATATATATATATATATATATATATATATATAAAAATTAAAACATAATTCAGGTCAAATACAAATCAGAGTCCATGTCAAGTATCATATAAAAATTCAGGTCAAATATCATATCAGAATCCATGTCAAAAATCAGATAAACTATTTATATGATAGTTTAAAACAGTAAAATAACACTGTCAGGAAAACACACCTGTAACAGTCTGGGAAATCAGATAGGGAAGCCTATTACTGGGTCTGTCGATCACGTTCTGTTGCAGCGCTAGATCCTACGAATTGAAAAAATCTATATTGGAATCCTAATATAAATAATCTAAATATTATTTAAATAATATACGGAAACCTACGGGTAATTCTCGTAGTACGCGGTTCAGGCTGATCTAACGAATGGATAACACCGGACCTAATTGATCATTGCTCAGGTGAAACACGAGTAGCTTCATAAAATATTTTTATTGAATCAATCCTTGACCAAATCTCAATTAAATAATCAAAATATTAAAATATTAAGCCTTTTGGGTTAACAAGCTCGATTCGGGAATTTCGGGTCAGAATTTGGCAAAACGGACTTCGGAATCAGATTCAGGACGTCGAAAAACATAAAGTATGACTTTCCGAAAATTTGAATTCTTGGTCCAAATCAAAGTCAACGGGTTTGACTGACGATTCAGAGACTTTTGGTTTTGAATTTTGTGAAACCGACCCCAAAAGCGGATTCGAGACGTCTAAAACTGTTAGGATATGTATTCTCGGAAAAGATTAACGGTTGTTTAATAGCCGGTCAAAGCCAGAAACAAACTATCAATCATTTTACAGAAATAGCATCATTTTTAAAATAATTACCAAAATAGCAACTTTTCGAATTAAATTCCCAAAATAGCACTTTTCGAATTAAATTACCAAAATAGCACATTTTCCGAATAAATTCCCAAAATAGCACTCTTTTTGAATTAATTCCCAAAATAGCACCTATTTCGTATTAATTCCCAAAATGTCACCCGGTCAACGGTCAACGGTCGGGTCAACGGGTCGGGTCGGATCAAAACCGATCAAACCGGTCAACCCTTTGAAAAACCGGTTAAACCGATAATTTTAGTCTTCCCCACGCGCCGGGGCGCGTGCGGCGTCTATAAGCGTCGAAAAAATTATAGAAAATTCCTAAAAATCATTTTGAGCGATTTCGAGATACTTACAAAGATCGGTTCAAATTTTTGAACGGCGGAGAGCTCGTTTTCAACAAATCGGAAAGTTTGACTGCTTCACCTCTCCACGCGCCACCGTCGACGGAAACCGAGGATGACACCGGCGGACTCGGAACGGCACAAGGAACACGATGGTGCGGGAGGTGTCGTAAATAGAGTAACGATCGGCGATGAATTTAAGATTTTCTAGGCGATTGAGCTAAAAAAAACGTCGATGCTTTGACTTGAAATTCACGGCGTTTGGCAGCGTTTCACTTCAATTAATTTAAGGGGATTGTTCCTGACTCGATAACAAACACGATGGTACTTTCAAAACGACGATCGAAATTCGAACGGCATCGGGATCGTCGTCAGAAGTTGACGTAGGGGAAGGAGATTTTTGGAGCAATTGGTTTCTATCAGAAACCAATTGCACGTATATATCATCCAACATACCTACTTTTATTGGGTAAATTCAGAGCTTGGTCCCTGAATTTTCTTTAACTCTAAAACAAGCTTTAAGTTTTAAAATCTTTCAATTTAGTCCCCAAAATTCACTAATTTACACAATTAAATTCTCAAATTTCGATTAGATATTATTTTGAACCTAATACACTCATGGTAAAATAAATATTTCACATGCAGAGTTATTTGATGTCACATGTCTTATTTAGTGTTTAAAGTTATAGCATTTAGGGTTTAAACCTAAGATATAAGGTTTTAAGTACGGGTTTAAGGTTTAAATATGAGATATGCAGTTTGAGATTTAGGATTTAATACTATGAAATGGGACTTAAGAGTTCAGGGTTTAAGTGTATGATATAGAAATTAAGGTTTAATATTATTCAAATATGTTAAAAATAACCACAGGAAACATAAACAAAACAGAACCCACAGATAATATATATATATATATATACACAAGACGTTGAAACTACCAAATAAACTAGACATAATGGATGAAGAAACAGCGATTAGTAGCAGTGTCCAAATATGTCACCAATGTCAGAGGACATAATCAAAGGTTGTAACAGTTAGTCACTTGATGAAAAGTGAAGTAAGAAAACTCGGGAAAAAAACACTAAAAAAGGTTGCTTTTTAAGAAACTAACAACCGAATGATGCAAACCAGAAGTATAAGAAGAACTGCACCCCAAACCCAGTAAACCCATGCTCACTTCCTCTTCATTTGATTCGCATATCGAAGATTATTAGTTCCACCATTGATGAAACTACCCGCATTCGCCACATTTTCCTCGATGTCATCCATTTTCTCCCCTTGTGCCTCCACAAGGACAGCCATGTCGTGGAACACTTGATGCAGCCTCTGCAAGCTTCGTTGGATATCCAACACTGCTTCATGCCTTTCATTGTTCCTCGAATCGATCTCGGCTTTCTCGCAGAATGACCGATGAAACTGCCTTTTCGAGCACGGCTTCTTTGGGGAACTCTCCCGTGACATTGTAGTATCTTCTCTTGAGATCTTCTTTATGATCCGACAAAATCTTTTCCCGCAATTAGGCCTGTAAATGATTTGAACGTTCAGTGAACCGTTCATGAACCGTGCGGTGGGAAGTTTGTTTATGTTTGTTTATTTATTAAATGAACAAACATGAAAAATATTTTACGTTCGTTTAATTAAATGAACGAACACGAACAAATGGCTCGTCCGTTCGTGAACGTTCGATTATATGTTCGTTTATGTTCGTTCATTTATGTTTGAACAGAGGCCAAGTTGAATATGTTACGAAGATTATTGAAGTTGTTTGGATTTCAAGAAGATTGTTTTGTTGAACAAATTAACTTTAAGACTTTATTATGTTCATATAGTTTATTTATGATTTATGTATGTTTTTGTCGTATTCGAACAAATTAACTCTAAAATTGCAGGTTATATTAATGAATTTTAAGTTGTTATTCTTGTTGTTTACTTTTTTTTACATTCATTTTTTGTATTTGAATAAATTTGTTTTTTGTGTTTGTGTTGTTCGTTTATATTCGTTCGTTTGTGTTCGTTTATCATTTAAATTAATGAACATGAATAAATTATATTTCTTAATGAACGAACATGAACAAAAAATATTTTGTTCGTTTACTTTCGTATTCGTTTATGTTCGTTCCATTCATGTGCGTTCGGTTCATTTACATGCCTACCCGCAATTACTGAAAATCATTCATCATTTGCTTGAGCTTAGCCCTCAAACCATTGGTTACAGATATTCGGGTTCGATCCACATAAGATCCTGATGATCTCCTACTGCTTGCATTGGATCTGTCGAGTGGTTCAAGTTTTTGCTTGACGAACTTTGCTTTTCTGAGAATCGAAACCGTGTCGGATTCCATCCTATCTCTTAACCCTCCAAGGACTTTGGTACTGTTAGTGGACTTTGTTTCTTCATTAAGGGATTGAAGATCAAAGACGAGATTGGTAATCTCGTCCATTGTTATTTTGATCGATGCCACTTCTTGGAAGAACAGTGATAGGTTTGACTTCATCGGTGGGGTTGAGTTTCCCTTGCCCGAGGCCATTTTCAACAAGATCGGATTCCGAGTCTTTCTGTGCCTGTTTCTTCAGTTCCACATAACTTAAGAAAGACTTGGTCATCAGATCATTCATCTCTGCAACAACTTTGCAATAAAAGCCTCCTGCAAAAGCAATCAAGAAGCAGAATATGAAACCCCCTTTTTTTCTTGAGCGATATAAAGGAAGAGAAAGTAACCCTTATTTAGATGAAACTTTCTAAAAGATTCTCGGTATTTTCCTTCAAAATGAACTTAAATTCACCATTTTATTATTAGCCGAGAAAAACTTCGGAAAAAAAAAAGAAACCCATAATGTAAAGAAGAGAACCTGAAAGTGGGATTCCACAGGAGGATTCTTTGTTGAGTGAAGGGTTATGGATTACAGTTTCAAAATGAATAGGAGATTTGATTGTGCAGTTACAGAAATTTTAGATTTGATTTTCACAGAACCATAGCCATTGGATTACTAGATGAAGACGATCAAAGTCCGCCAAAATAGGTTACAATTTCGTATTATTTCAGTAACACGATACAAAGGCCACTCTGGACTAAAGGCAAGGCAAATATATATAGAGAAAATAACTTTAGTTACCGAAAATGTCTTATAATATACGATTTTAACCAATTTTTTCTGGATTTACGAAAATAACCAATAAATTCGCAAAGCGATCTCAAAATCGCAACGTGAATACCAGTTTCGCAACACAGTTTTCAAATTAGCAACGCGATTCTCCAAAATCGCAACGCGGTTTTCAAATTCGCAACGCGGTTTTCGTTTTCGTAATGCTAATTATCGATATAGGTAAACACGCAACGCGATTCTCCAAAATCGCAACGTGAATTTCGTTTTCGCAACGCTAATTACCGATATAGGTAAATACAACTATTCACAACCCAATTTCGCAACTAAATTACCGATATAAAATTACAGATATAGGTAAACTCGATAAAAAAAAAAATCCGGTAAAAAACCGAATTTGAAAATTTGAAAATGAGTTGTATTTACCTATATCAGTAATTAGCGTTGCGAAATTCGAGTTGCGAAAACGAAATTGTGAATAGTTGTGTTTACCTATATCGGTAATTAGCGTTGTGAAAACGAAATTCGCGTTGCGAATTTGAAAACTGGGTTGCGAATAGTTGTGTTTACCTATATCGGTAATTAACGTTGCGAAATTTGCGTTGCGAAAACGAAATTCGCGTTGCGATTTTGGAGAATCGCGTTGCGAAAATAGAGTTCGCGTTGCGAATTTGTTGGTTATTTTTGCAAATCCAAAAAAAATGATTAAAATCGTATATTATAAGGCATTTTCGGTCACTGAAATTATTTTCTCATATATCTATATGAATTATTAGAGTACAAAATAGGGTAAATTGTTTGAAGGAAAAATAATGATTTCTTTGGGCACACATTTTCTTTTTCAGATACTAATTATTAATAAAATAAAATAAAATTTTTAAATATATTGAATTAAACTAAAGTTAAGACAAAATTGAATGTGCAAATAAAAATAATCAAAAGTGTATTATACAAATTTAGTTAATTGTTATATCATCATTCCTGTTAAAGACTAACCATCAATGAAACAATGACTTGATTGATAATATTTTAATAATTTAGTAGTCTAATTAAAAAATAATAATTCGATGGGCAAAATAAAATTGACTCATAATTTAATGATTATTTGAATAATTTATCTTATATTTCATCGTGTTTATAATAATTTTTAAAATTTATTGTATTTTTGGAATAAAATTGGGATTTTAAATTTTTGTTTAGGAAAATGTACCTCCCACATGAATTATTTAGAGATTTAAATTGAAAGGTATAGTAATCCTTAAATTCGTGGACAGCGGTGGTAACACTGTCAAAGTCGCAAGGTCGTAGTTTGAAAGGGGTCATTTTTTTTCTTACCATTTTCTTTCTGTTTTAAGCTTCTGCAATAATATAATAGAGATGATTGATTGATTGTGTACTAGTTTGACCCCTATAATTTTACTTTTCTTACAGTTTGGACCCTATGTACAACACATCATCAAAACAAATCAGATTTCAGATATCATCACATAACCATAAAAGCTTGATATTCATAATCTTCACAGTGTCTAGTAACGCGTTGACTCGATAGCTTGCGGACGCGACGCAATGTTTATTTCGGAAGAAACATGGGACTACAACAAGTGGATTGAACTACTAAGAAAGGGGCTTGTTTAGAAGGTGGAAAACATTCTTTCATGAACCTATGAAGTTCTGATGAATATAAGTTGGGGAAATTCCTGTAGTTATCGACATGAGGAGACGTGCCGAAGTTCAAGGAGAATACCTTTATCCCTTTGTTGCTCATCTCGTTAATGCACAACTCGACCGATTTATACGGTACGACCTTATCAGCTGTGCTATAAAGATATAGCTGCGGACAGTGGGGATGGTGGTCCAAGGCCGCCTTCACGACCGCCCTAAACTTTCTCTTTTAAAAGAAATGTCTTTTGATTTATTGAATTAGATCATATTGATAAGATAATTCTCTTTTAAGTTCTGTAATATTTTATATTTGCAATTTTTAATTATGGTTTATATATAATGAATTCTTTTTTAAAAAAAAAAGTATATATAATGAATTCAAACATTAGATACCTATTTTAAATTATTATTCTTAACAATTATTTTAGATATCATCTAAATTAAAATCAAATAGATAGATAGATTGATAAAATATTAAATAGAGAGAAAAAGGCAAAGGATATTTCTTCTACCTTTCTATCGATGCAAATGCCAAATTTAACCCTTGTGATGGGATTGATATGGGCATGTATTTTTCTTTTCCAATTATTTGAAAATTTAAAGTTTTCATCCTATCTCAAATTAATTCGAGGTTTGATGATGTTCAATTTACCTTGAATCAATTTTGAATTTAGGTAAAAAAATATTTTTCATGTTGTAATCATGCATATATATATATATATATATATATATATATATATATATATATATATATATATATATATATATAGAAAAGTTAAGTGAATTAAGAATTTAAAGGAGGTCTATGGTCAAAAGTAAAGATGATCGAGTAACAATTATTTTAGAATGTATCAGTTGTGTTTGAAATGGCATTCGTGTTAATAAGGAATCAACGTACATTCTTAAGTACATTTATAAATAAAAGGAGATATATTATATAGTATCTGTTCAGGTCGGATAGAAGATTTTTTATCCTACATATAAAGAGAGAGAAATATTGTATTGATTATATGTATAAAAATAAATAAAGGAGAGATACTATAATAACTATCCATATCAGATTGGGTACGAGAGATACTTCGTCTCAACCTTGACTCTCTCCTTCATAAAATCATCTCATTTCAAATTTAATTTATTTTTATCAAAAATAATTTTATAAAATTATATCAAATCAAAACCAGACAAATTTAAATGTTTCAATCTCATATTTAAAGGATTTGACCCCTTTTATATATTGTACAGAGGAAAAGAAATATTTGAACAAACAGAAATTTGAATATCGAATAACAAAAATAAAAGTGACTTGAAATTCATATTAATATTTTTTTTACAAATTCTAAATCTAATTTTAGTTAAAAGGAAGGAAAAGGAGAACTCTAAGGAAGAAAATGAGCTTTGGAGGGTATCTTTTTGATCGAGATGTTTTGACGATGTCGTTCGCCCCCAAAGACGAGCACGAAGCTCAAGTTCACTTGTAGAGGCTACCATTTCCTTGTAGAGTCTTTGATTTAGTGCACTGTGCACGGTGTAGGGCGCCTTGGCATATTGAAAACGGCATGCTTCTGCTAGAACTGAACCGTGTTCTTAGACCTGGAGGATATTTTGTCTGGTCAGTGACGCCTGTCTACCAGAATCTTCCGGAGGATGTGAAAATTTGGAAGGGTAACACACAATTCAAAGTTCAGACATGGTTTAAGGTTGTCATGGAGCTGATATGTGAAGTTTGTTTTGCAGCGATGTCGACCCTGACGAAATCCATTTGTTGGGAACTTGTGACCATCAAAAAGGACAAATTGAATTACATCGTTGCCGCCATCTATCGCAAACCGACCTCAAATGAATGCTTATGACAAAAGGCCGGAGTAATCCACCAATGTGCGATGAAAATGATGATGCAAATGCTGTCTGGTAGGTTTCTTCACATACTCTTGCATATTTATGCAGCAAAATAAAGGCACTTTATCCGTTATTGCTTGTTTTGTGTCAGGCATGTACCCCTGCAGGCATGCATGCACCATGTGCCGGTAAATCAGGCCGAAAGAGGAGCACGATGGCCTGCGAACTGGCCTAATCGGCTGCAGAAAGCTCCTTACTGGTTGAACCGATCCCAGATGGGGATTCACGGAAAACCGGCTCCTCAAGACTTTGCAAAAGACTATGAACACTGGACTCGAGTAGTGAGCAAGTTGTACATGAGCGGATTGGGAATCAGTTGGTCTAATTTAAGAAATGTGATGGACATGACTCATGAGAGCTGTGTATGGAGGGTAATGGTTGTTTCGTTTCTGTTTCAAGCGTTACTAAGAGACATTAAAGTTACCATATTGACACATTTGACACATCTTTGATGCCTGCAGGTTTGCAGCAGCTTTGAAGGATATTAAAGTATGGGTGATGAATGTGGTGAACTTTGATGCTCCGGATACACTTCCGATCATCTACGAACGTGGTCTCTTCGGAATATACCATGACTGGTGCGAGTCATTCAGCACGTATCCGTGATCATACAACCTCTTGCACGCCGATCATCTTTACTTAAAGCTGAAAAATAGGTAGAATTAGAAATCATGAGATGGTTTCCCACCATAATCTTCTTTGTTCGATAACCGATCCTCATTTTTCATGGTTTGTAGGTGCAAACTGCAGCCTGTGATGGCTGAGGTCGATAGAATCGTCAGACCGGGCGGGAAATTAATCGTTCGTGTCAAATACATACTTATATCTAACTGTCACTCAAATTTCGTGGTTTGTGGATGTATGCATGCATCGATTGGCAGGCGAAGATAACCAAGTACCTGTTGGAGCTTTTTAATGCAAAATGCAAGTGTTTTAGCAAAATCATGATGGATGAATAGCACGCATATCACTAATTCATCTTGTCTTAATGTTGGGAGCCAGGCCATAATCACAGGGCTTAGTGTTATTATTATGATATATAATCTCAATAATGCGTGATCAATGTTATATACATTGAATAATTCCAATAGCAAAAAGAAGGTTATTTTCTTTAAATGATATGAATTCTCAGTACATGTACATGTGTTTAACTAGATCTTAATCTTCTAAAAAAAATTATTAAAATCATTAAACTGGTTGATTATTTGTTATTGGAGTTTTAGTAAATAATGCTGTTAATTTGTCTTGGTCGTGATTATATTTAGTTTAGGCTTTTTTAGTATGTATATTTAAAATCCACTTGTGGCGTATAGTCATATATATATATATATATATATATATTTAAAAAATATAATATATTTATATCATATAATTTATATTTGAATTCAAATAACATAATATTGTATGCGTGGTTTTGTTCGTCTGTTTTATACTTCCCAGACTGTCTCGTGTTTGCTTTCCATGGACCATGGTAGCGGGAAAGAAAGTTGCAGCAGTTTCTGGTGTGAAGTTGTTGCTCCTGTGATTCTGGTTTTTGCAGCAATGGGGTGTTACTTGGACAAGGCTGGATCAAAACATGTAACGACCATAGATTGATTCACATGCTGGTTGTATTTGATTTGGATGGTATTTTTAATATCAGTACAATGCATTCTTTTTCCTCCAACTAGGATTAAAAAACTAAGTTTCGATTAAAAAAGATATTTAATTTATTTTATATAAGAAAGAATAGTATATTTTCAACATGCTTTATTCATAAAAACATTTTAAATAACTTTATTAATAAAAAAATATATCTGAACATATGCTATATAATCATTCTAAATTATTCAAAAAAATTGTATTATACTACAAAAAGAATTAAAATAAACTAAAATATAATGTAACAAGAAAATCTAGAAATGACGTTTTGAAAAGAATACTAACTTGAGGGATTAAAAAGTGGTTTTATCCCTTGGAAAATACTGTGGCCGAGAGGGAAACCAGTGGAAGAGGAGGTTGTTTTCAGACTAAGATATAAGGTAAAAAAAAGAAAGCCTCGAAAACGCAGATTTGATTGGTTTTGTGGCTTCACCTTTTAGTGTCTCGTCCAATAAGAACACGACACATAAGTAATGAGTTCCGTTGGGACAAATACTGGCCTGAGGTTTCTAGATTTGGTCTCTGTTTCCTTTTGAACTTGTCTTCGCTTACAGAGCATGTTCTGTCCCTAACTTCTATCATTGTTATCCATGGTAACTTTTATATTAATTGTTATATTAATTTACGCGGTGGCCGAACAAAAACGTGAAATTAGTCAAAGGCGATGGCCCAAATTCATTCTTAGCAAATAAGAAAAACGAAAAGTAAAAATAAATTCTTGAGAAAAAAACAGCAGAAAGAAATGTTGCAGTTTCCTAGGTCTTCACGACTTATATAACCTAAAGGGTAGTCATCGTAAATTCAGTCAGCCTTTTCTTTTTCAGTAATTTATGAGAGTTGTACTGTTATAAATTACATAAATTTGCAACGGACAAAGGTAAGAAACAAATTAAATTCAGAAATTGTTCGAAATCTTTTGTATCCTTGAAAACAGAGAAAAAGAAAGTAAAAAAATCAAAGAGATAAACAAGCAAGAGAAAACAAACCATGGATGCTTTCTGTCATCATCATTCAATGCTTTACCGAACTCACCACCACCCTTTTCTCTTTCAATTTCCCTCATTTACCTCCATTCCACCTCTTCCCTCATCTTCTCTACAGGTACTTTATGAAAAGCTTTTAGCTTTTGTTTCTTTTTTGTGGGCTGTTTTTTTTTTTCTTTCTAACGTACTTGTTTTAGGAAATGGAATGCGTTGAAGCAGCTTTGAAGACCAGTTTTAGGAAGGAGATGGCTATGAAATCAAGTCCCCAAGCGTTTTTGGAGGATGTTTTGGTTGTAAATAATGCACAAAATGGAGTTTATTGTGATGATTTCTCTGTTGACGACCTTTTCGACTTCACTAACGAAGAAGGTTTCCTTGAACAAGTACCTGAAGGAGGAGAAGAAGTACCCGTTTCTTCTTGTTGTTGTTCGAATAAGAGACAAAAGCTAAGCCAAGAGCATCATTTTTCTGAGGAAACTATCAATTTTGATTACACTTGTTTATCCACCGACGAGCTCTCCGTTCCGGTACTTAAAAAAAAGAATCTTTTTTGTTATTTGCTTTTTGCTATTTTGAGCTCGGGGTATGGTTGTTAATGGTGAAAGAGGCGACATTTTTACAGGCGGAAGACGTGGCGAGCCTTGAGTGGTTGTCTCATTTTGTTGAGGATTCCTTCTCGGAACACTCTGCGGCGGCGTATCCGACCGAAACGTTAACGGAAAAGCCCGAGTTACCAGGCAGCAAATTGCCTGAACCGGAAAGACCAGTTACGACTTGTTTTAAAACTCCTTTTCCGGGTAAAGCCAGAAGCAAGCGCAGTAGAAGTGGCGGTCGGGTTTGGTCTCTTGTCGCTCACCCTCGTACGGAATCCCCTTCAAGTTCCACTTCGTCATCTTCCTCTAGCCTTTCAGCTTCGAGCCAATGGTTCGTTTACTCAAACTGCGTCCCCGGTTCAGTCTTTGAACCGTTGGCGGTTGAGAAAAAGCAAAAGAAGAAACCGGCAACCGAGTCAAACGTTGGGAATGTGACCCAGCCAACGCGTAGGTGCGGTCATTGTGGAGTTACAAAGACGCCACAATGGAGAGCTGGTCCAACGGGAGCCAAGACTTTGTGTAACGCTTGCGGTGTCAGGTTCAAGTCGGGTCGGCTCTTACCCGAGTATAGACCGGCTTGTAGCCCGACATTTTCGAGCGAGCTGCACTCAAACCATCATCGGAAAGTGCTCGAGATGCGACGAAAGAAGGAAGGTTCGGGTCTGGCCGAACCCGGTTCTGTTCCCAGTTTTGGATAACATTAGTTCCAGTTGTACATCAACTACATTAGGGTTTAGGGATTTAGATTTTAGGTAGGAATTTAAATTTTGAACTGTATCTTGTTTTTTTTAATATAACTTTCACATTCTTTTACCCAAAACTCATATTCTTAATTTGAATTTTGTACATTGAAATTATTCGAGAAATGGGGGGAAACTGGATTTGGCTTGTGGACGAAGCACTTGGCGTATATGATTTGCTATAAAATGTGTATTTTTTGCATGAAGTGAAAAGCTAAAACTGTTGTATTTGGAGTGGTTGTAACCGAAGCAGTTTCGTGCTTTGTTGGACGGATATGCACTTTTGATGTTGGTTTTGGACCAAGTAATAAGAAAAGGGGTGTTTTGGTTTTTTTCTCCAACTTGTAAATTTTATATTATAATTTTTATTGGGGGTATATAATATATAATTTACCCTAAGAAAAATGAGTTGTATCTGTAACAGTTTCCATGGTGAAAACGATAAACATCCCCTGCACACACAAAACCTATATAGCTAAACATTCGTATTTATTGGACATTGTTGCTTATTGAGTTTTGTACTTGGGCCGTAGTTCACGTGGACAAGATCAACACTTCCAACAACTTTACTCTCCAACGTCTTGTACAGAAGGGGTTACTTACCAACTTGTGTTTTAAAATATCTCCTGCTCAAATTCAATATGTATCGCATCAATCCTCCTCAATGCAACAAATTTCTTTTTATCAACACTAGACTGGGACATGTTTTTCTTTGTTTAAGGATTATTATTGGATCCAAATTTGATAAGGGTAATCTTATTTTTAAAAGTTCAGATTTAAGACGAGTAGTTGGTTTTAAGAAATATAGAATTGAGATTGAGAAAAATTCGAATTTAAATTAAAAAATCTTCAACCCCATATATTTTACAAACACAATGGGCAAGAGGGGATCCATGGTGGGCCGACTATAGTATCTAGTGTTGGTGGAAAATCAAATCCCATAGTTGTGATTGATTCCATCTCACAACTCTTTTGAAAGAAGCATGCATAATACTTGACAAAGGCAAAGCCAAAACTATATTTCTTGTATGATGCAATTGCAAGCATGCCGGGTTGAAATGTTAGGCGCAAGTGGAAGTGGTTGGAAGATAAGGTTGGGGACTAATAATAAGAAAGGTAGGTTTGTTCTTTCAATGTGCATGCCCCGTGGTTTGGCTTTATAGAGATATTCAATTTCTCTATCCCTCTTATTTTCTTAGGCCACGATCTTTCCGTCCCTAAATGCAATATCCATCATAATTATTATCTTTTTTTCCCTTAATCTTTTCCTCTGCAATCAAATGATGTTAAAACTATATGTATGAATCAATGATAATTGAGATTATATAGTTCGAAAAATTAAGTACTTAATTTCATTAAATAAAAAACTTAGGTATCTAATAATACAAAAGGAAAAAAATTAGATACCCAATTACACTATTTTAAAAAAGTTAAACATCTAATTGCACTAAAAGAAGTTAGACACCGCATTACACGTAAACACTAGAATTAAGTACCGAAGTTATATTTACCTAATTATAAATATGTTCTTCCAAGTAATCCATAAACATTATTGCTACCTAACAAGGGTGAGTATTTACTCGAGTTTAGTAGAAAAATTTTCAAGTTAATTAAGTTGAAGAGTTATATTTTATCATTTAAACTTTATTTGAATATTTTTAATCAGATTAAGCTTATAAAATCATAGTCGAATTGACTCGAATTGTTGGAGTTTATGTTCAAGTTTAATTGTAATTATTTATAATATTATGATGCATATTAGTTTCAAATAAAGAGAAATTAGAGAAATGAAAAAATCATGTAAATTTGAGATATTAAATTGAATAAATAAAAAATTTATTATTAAAAGGAGGAACCGAAGATACACGTGTTATAAAATAATTTAGGAACATGCGATTCCAATTTAATAAAATAAATAAATTCAAAATGAAAAATGTTTGCAAAATTATCAAACTATTTAACTAACTAATAAAAAAAGCACACCAAATAAGTTGATATCCAATATCAAAACTCAAATTGAATTGAATAATTTAAAATTTAGAAAAAAATAATTTTTCAAATTAAATTAAATTTTACTTTCTTAATAAGCACCGAAAATAGAAACATAGACCAAATATGACGGGCCCTGCAAACATTCCAAATCTGAATCCTTTTAATGTCCATTTAATTCGGTTTAAAAACTAACAAAGTGGGCCTTATTTTATTATCGAAAGTGTACTCGTTTAAATGTTCTTAACGACATGGCATCATCCACCACATTGCATTTGTTTAAACCAATCATTGGACTAATAATGCTCTTAATTCGTCTTAACAGTAAGTAAGAAACTGTTGAAAAATGTTAACAAGTTTCATAGTGGACCAGCAGTATGTCAATGCATAAACCTGCATGAAGGGTTTGCCCCTCGCAACTTCTACATAACAAAAAACGATTTTTAGCATCGATTTCAACGAAGGAATCATCAAATTTAATTTACTCGATGTTTAATCATGTTCGATGCATCGGTATCGGGTCGAACATGTCGACGATTCTGCCTTGTTTTTTCAAGATTAGGGTTTATGGTATCTTGTGCTTGGCTACAATGAAGTAGACAGTTAGATTCTAAGCTCTACAAATGCAATTACTTGTTGCTTTAAAGTATTGGCTAAATCAAATGACATACTAATCAAGTAATTGCTGGCAGCTGCACATGCCCCCTTCATTATACGTTAGGTTTAGGGATTGAAGGTACCCAAATAGTTTGATACAATTAAATATTCATACAAATATTTCTAATCCTATTCAAAAAATTTATGTTATTAATATATGTGTGTTTATCTTAAAAAATATTTCTAAATCCGTTATTAAACATAACACATATAGGTGATGATGGTAGCATTCGACAATCAAACCATTTAAGATACATAAATTCAGCTAACCAATATTATTCCATTTATGTTTGAGCTCCATAAATCGCATGAATGAAGTAAGAGTTACCATATATGTGTGATTTTTTTATAAACAAATGAGATGTAAATTAAAGTATGCATAATTTTATTTATTCAAATTATAAAATTTATAATCTGTAGATTAAATAATTTTATATAAATATGAATATAAAGCCTTATACAAGAAAGTCTCCAGAAATTAATTAAAAAATCTGAAGTTTTTTTTTTTCATTTACTCAGTCAAAATCTATGGATTTTAAGTTAAAATATACAGACTTTTCTTGCAATCGAGTGGTTGAGATCGGCATGTCTCAGCCAACTTCTATGTCCACATTGAATGTCAAAAACATGTCACCATCAAGGAATAGTAATCATTTCAAGATCAATACCACGTTGATGTCTGTAGTGTTAAAGGCTTTTCTTCCTCCTCCTCCTGGATGGTTTCATGAAAGGTGTCGTATTTAAGGTGAAGGATTGGTGGATCAATGTTTACTATGCGATAGACTTTGGATCATTTTATTTGTTGCCTAGGCTGATGTATTCCTTGTTTCTGTTTGGGTGTGCGTCGTTTCTTCGGTTTTCCTCTAGGGGTGGTTCCTTGTTGTTAGTTTTTGCTTGGTTCGTGTTGTCGTAGTAGCGTGATCGGATATAGTTCTGTGTTTATGGAATCGATTGTAAACTATTTCCATCCTAAGGACACTCTTTTTCCTCCATTTAGGTGTAGGAAGGTTTTTTAATGAGGCCATTAGGATGTTTCTTTGTGTTTTCTTCAATACAAAGAATCCTTTATTTCAAAAAAAAAAAAAAAACCACGTTGATGTCTCCTTCAATCATCATAATATTCTTTAAAAAGATAGTTTCTGGTAATTAACTTTGGTGAATGTTGATGTTAATGGCTTACCATTCTCAATAATTCTCACAGTTTTTTTCTTTTCTTTATTGGTATAAAATCAATATGTAATTTGTTAGGCTTAATTTGCTAGGGTAAATTTGTAGCCAATTAGATCAAGCAACTCTCAACTAACATCTCTCTTTCATAACAATTATTTGCATATTTTAATTCTGATGATATGAAAAATGAGTTGAGAATCTGATTTGAATATACAAAAAGGAATTCTAAATATTAAATTAATTATTTACTATTGTTGAATTATTAACTTATATAATTTTCTCGCCTTCCCCGAATGTGATTATAATTCTTGAATTAGTTTAGTTTCACATAAATCTTTTTGACAAATTAGTTTGAATATTTCATCTTTCTTGAAATTTTCGCATGATCCGACAAAGATATTCATCATATATTACAATAAACTTAATTGAAAAGATACCAATATCCCATTTGAACTCAATTATGACTTGTAAGTGATTAATGCCATGGGTGGATTGTCCATGTGCAGCTTCATAAGAAGAAATTTGTAAACTATTATTCGTTAAGAGTTATTAGATAAATCTTAAATAGTAATTCAGATCAAAATTTTATAACAATAAATTTAAACTTTGATATTTATAATTTTATTTCGATTCATGAACCGCCGACCGCAGAATTCACCTAACCCAAGTTTTGATTGGATACAAATGAGGAAATAGAAGAAAGTCAATTTTCTGATATATTTTTTCCTTCGAAATTCTCCACATCATTACAAAAGATGGATTTGTCTTGTTACAGAAACTTAAAATAACAATAACATATACTTCACCCACCTAACCCTAGTTCCCAACTAACATCAATCATCTCTAGTCTTGCTGAGATGCCATTCAAATAATCAATCATATTGCAATATTAACTTACGTTATCAGCACAAGATCCAGATTTTGAGCACTTAATTAAACACAAATTTAATTTTAATATGGTTTATGCCTTTTTCTAAGCGGTTGAGCCATATGGATCGACAAGTTTGTTTTATGTACATAGGTGGCCAAAATTCTGTCGATAACCCATTGTGATTGATGTTTACTACTCTGCCAACATTGAAAGGAATAAAGCCGATTTGACTTGATGAACAATTGGGATTTGGATTGGAAGAATGTCTATGTAAGAAAATAGATATAGGAAATGTTATTATTTTTTAATATTTTTGGTAATGTGTTATCTAAAATATTATTATTATTTTTTAAAATATTAATATTGGGCGTTACGTGAAATGTTAAACATTTTCTGTAAAACGCTACCTAGAACATTATTTTTTCTATCGGAAATGTTAATATTTGGTTCTCCTGGAAATTAGTTAGCGAAATTAAAATTTTTGATAAAAAATAATGTTTTAAGTAGTGTTTTATCAAAAATATTAAAAAAAATGTTAATATTTTTAATAGAATCTTTTCTTACCCGTATCGACATATAGCAAAACTACCCCATTTAGATCGTGTCAAATTGAAAAAAAAAATGTTTGACTTTCTCTCCCTTGTTTTTA